GCACCCTTGCAGTGCCATGCCAGCTCAGCTGCATCCTATCAAGTCGCCGCGAGGATGAACATGGTGCCCGTCAGCGCGGCAGCCGGTAGGAAGAAAGAATCGATGCAAAGAATTAGACACAGGGCTAACACTGTCCGGTATGCTTAGATCTTACCTTGCTTTTTTTTTTTTGGTCGGTGCAGGCTTTATCTCCGCGGCCGCAGAAATACTAATCCGAAGGCGAAACGGCCGCGAGTAGGCAGATGATAGAACGGACAAAGCCTCAACTCAGCTTCTTGCGGCCACACAAGGCCTATCTCTATGATATGCCAATTGCTACCTGCTGGAGGAGCACCATCTTCCATAGCCTCGACAAAGCTGTTCCACAAAGCCTTTGCCATGGCTATTGCACGTTGCATCCTGCCACAGCCCCGGCTCGAGCCGTGTCCGCCTTACTTGCAGCGTCCGCCATATATTGCTTGCAACTATTGATCAGCCACATCCAGTTGCATCTGCTGTATCCAACCAGATTGTCGAGTGCTGTGATGATACGTAGCACTACGTCTGCCGAGACCAGATCCCAAGTAAAAAAGAGCCCATCCTTGCCGCAGAGCCGGCTCGGCTTTTTGCAAGCAATCGAATGAAGATGAGCCTTTGTATGAGTGCTAGTCGCTGTGTCTCTCTTACAAGCACCAGAAGCGCTAGAACGCTGCCTGTTTTATTCCCCCAAAGCGCTAAGCAGCCCGGTGGGCCTGGCGCACTTTTGACACGGACTGGCCCCAGCGGCACAAGCCGGAAAGTGGGCTTGAGTGCCAGAAAGGCGCGCAAAAGCAGCGTCGCTGTCTGTGCTCGCGATTAGATGCCGCTGTGGCTGGCGAACCAGCTCAGGCGCGACTTGCGCCACTTTGCCTCTCAACGTGCCGTGCCTGAAGATCCCCTGGCCACCGCTCTCGCTCACCGCCTTTGGATAAGCCCACGCCCTCTGTTTTTCTTGCGTTTTCTTCTTCTGCTCGATCCTCCCAAAAGTGTAGGTGCATTTGCGGAACACTCCTCCCGCTTTTGCACTAGCCAGGATGCGCTGAACGGCGCTATCTGGTAGCTACAGATCAGAGCGTCGCTAAGACGCTGGAGACCTCGTAAACGGCCAGAGTTTGCCGCACAACTCATCCACCGGTGCCGCGTTAATGCTGCCAAGAGGCCAGTCCAGGGCAAAGAAAAAAAAAAGTTCACTGATTGATACTAATTCTCTCGGTCTTATTTTTTGTGTGTATGTTCCCACTCAACACTTACCAGCCTGCGCAAAAGACGTCAACGACAAACTTTCGGGTAAATGGACAAACAGGTTCTAGCATAAAGCGACCATGACAAAGTTCCGGCTACTCGCACGCATGACTGATTCCAGTAATGCAAGAGTGCTAATACGCGCACTTGCGATATCAACGTAGCATAAGGCCCTCCGCAAATCGCCTAGTCCAGCCAATTGACTCTGAGCTACGGTATTGTTTACCATCGTTTGACTTTTTGTACCTGGAAATGTCAGATTCGAGACTCAGGCACGAAAGTCAAATTAACCACCTTGTCAATCTATCATCACATTTCACGGCTACAAAGATGAAAACCAAATCTTGCATTCGATTACTCGTGTCATTGCGACGTGCTAATGGCGTCCACCTGACAGGAAGGTGCCATGAGAGGAGCCACAAAAATATTATAGATATCACGTCTCTCCTACATATGTCAGGTTTAAACTTTCTTGGAGCAGCAAGATGAAACAAATAAGACGCCCAGATTCTCCATATTCTATATTCATACATCCCTACAACTGGGGCTTCTTCAAACTCTCACCTGATAGAATATGAGCTGTTGATATCAACGGTAGGAAAATGAAGAGAAACGGCGATTAGTCTCTCCACTCGGCCGGATCAACTCAACGACTTGGCATTCTTATCTCACGTTCTGCGGCAGATGCGATACGGTGATTACGAATACTGCTTCCCATGGGGAAACGCATTGATCGGGAAACGGCACGAAAATCACAACTTGAGCTCAACAAAAGTACAGCTCGGATAGCCTTCGCCGAGAGAATGCAGCGGGCGGCCTTCTCAAGGCCTCTCGATCTAGCACGCGCTGCACGACAAGGAATATGTCTTACACACCACTCACCAAGCCCTAATCTTGCTTGTTGATCGTCATTACTGTTGAGGAACACGCAATAATTCGGTGAATATCCTGCGGCCAAGCCCGGGCTTGGCGAGGTGACCATTGGAGCTTTGACTTTTGCTGGATGCTGCAAGCTGCTGCAATTTTGTCTTCTATGCTAACATTTTCTACAGGTCTGTTGCTGTCTGAAGATAGCCTTGCGCTGAAACATGCATCTGGAGCTGAGGCTGGACTCCGCTTTGTGGAGAGTGGCTTGCTTTCGACAAATCCCCCAAATGCTTGCTTACTCTTTCTCCAACATTGCACCATTTCCTTTCCTCCCAATGATCAACATCAGTATTGCGGCCGCAGGAAAATCGATTCGATGCACGATATACCAGGGGCTGTCGTATCATACATCCACTGCCAAGAACAGGAAAAAAGACAATGGGTACTGGGATTGGCGACACAGATGGCCATGGTCCATCCGGCCCAGCAACAAGCTGCAGCCGTCGACAGCCAATCGATGAGGCTCGCTCTATTTTTATCAGTACGGCTAGCGACTCGGACTTCCTCTTGGCTGCATGTTTCGGTCGCAACAACAAAACAACTATTCCGCTGGCGCATGCGTTTCTCGTATCCAAGCAGAGAGAGGGTGCGTCGTGGCATGCTTCTACAAGTTCTACTCAAAGAGACAATGCACTTTTCCCCCTTTCATTCGGAAGGCTAACCGAAAGACACGACTCGTGGCGATACGCTATACAGTTGGGCGCCAACGGCACTTCAGCCTCGAGGATTGTCGAAGGATCTCCTCGAAAAGGGATCCCGCCTATCGGTGGCGCAACACAGATTGCATCAATTGTGCAACCAGCGCTGATTCCAACATGCTGCCTCAAGTCCTTGCGTCACCAGCTAATTACCCAGCGTCACCTATAACATTCAGATTATCAATTGTCACCATCCCTAATGTCTACAGCTCAATTTCCGCTTCTTTGTATGACCGGGTTATCTCCTTCTAATCCACTCAATCTTGGCAGTCGTGAACACACAATCATAACAACAGACAGCACTCACAAGAGCAATCTTGTTACGGTTTCAGATGTTTCATGTATATAGCGCTGATGGCTGGAGTGAACTCTAACAGTTGACTTCCTTGGTTGACTTCCTTGGAAGAGCTGAACGGCCTCCACTTCTCTCACAATCCGCTATCCAGCCTCCTCAACTGCTTGTCCGTGGCCAGAGCTCTAGCTGAAGCTCATACTCGTGCTGATCCACCGCCGCCACAGGCCTGCGGCGTATCAGCACGGCTCATCGGGTGGTTCCATAGCCATCGTTTCCGTTCCCACAACCCGATGCCCCCATAATATTACGGCGTGATGGAGCCTGACTCGGACGAGATCGGGTAGTTCCCGATGAGGCAATACAGGGGTCATGTCTTATTATGTGGGCATTGTATTCATCCTCTCTTTTTCCCCTCTTTCTCTCTTCTTCTCTGCTATCAGGCTGCTGTGCCGTCTTTACTCCAGTAGCGCAGCGCTATCTCGCGGCGTAAAGCGTTCCGCTTTTGCGGTCGCGCTTGTGATGCATCAGGGCTCGTATGGATGCAGGACCGCAAAATGCCAGGGGTCGGTATATCGTAGAACAGCGCAGCGATTGGACAGGACCGCACTGTCGAGATGCATATTTCGTGCCAGCGTTGCATTAACACAGCAGGACAATGCATCCAAGTCGCCTCTTGGCTTTGCAGCCTATTTGCTTCTTCTTCTTCTTCTTCATCCTCGTATCCTCGGTTGCAAGGGGCTCCATGCCAACACACACATACACAAACTACTGCGTCATTGATGCAATTGCGTTCCTTTTTGGCACCGCTTGCCTATCCAGGACTTGCTCTCTATTTGCAAAAAAATTTCTCTTTATCCGTTCCCTTGCAGGAGCTTGCTGTACCAATCATGACACACCCAGGCCCAGCCACGTTCAGCTGGCAAGGTAGCATCAGCAACTCCATCCATGTCATCCATAGATACGATAGCAGACTTGCAGTACACACATGCAGCAACACCCAAGGGAGACAAAAAGGAAACCCAAACCAATCATGCCTCATCCCAGCCGCTGGATCCTAGCGGCAGGCTAGCTTTTGCGTCCGGCCGTTGTCCAACACAGAGGCCGAGAAAAGAGGCCGCAATGCCGATCATCCAGGTACCTCGTAAGCTTTGTGGCCAATCCATAGAACACGCCCGTTTGGCGATATACTCAGTGCTACGGTAGGAACATGGATACATTCTCTTTTTCGTAGGCGGTCAGTAGTCCAGCTCAGCCAATGTCTCTATATTTTCTCTCTTTCTCTCTCCCGTCCTTGCATGCTGCCAGCTCACGGGTGTCCGAGTATCATACCATCTGTTTGTTGTCCGTGTGATTACGACCTAATATTTTGCTAAACCCAAGAGGTATATCTATTTTATCTATACGCCGTTAGCAAAGTCCAGCCTCCTCAACATATTCGCCCAATTGATTCTCAGTTGTTGGTATTTTATACTGCGCTTACCTAGTTGTAAGAGTCATCCAGAACAACCTGCTTCAGCTCAGCCTTAACTTACACGCTATGATTAGGCTGCTTTTCAAGGCAATCTTAAATCTTTTTACTCGGTACCCGGCATCCAGATCTGTGGGAGACGACTACAGTATACAACTTCACAGCGATCACACACTTTGATACCTCTAGTTGTGTCTTTCCGTAAATCTGTTAAGTTCAACAGCTGCTGCTACTGCATTCTGACTTACGAACACCTTCTTTTCATTTCTTCCTCGTCTTAATCAGACGCTTTCCTAAGTCGACCTGACTATACTCTCTATTCATCTTTATTTTACGACATCATCTCACAACAATGCTATCAAAAAAGTTTGCGGCCGTGGCCACCCTGTTGGCATCTATCTCGTCTGCAGCAAAAGTGGCATCAAAAGACATGGAACAAGATCTAGGCACCGTGCTAGCCAACAACAAAGATCTATCCACATACTACGAACTCATACAGGCATGTAATATGAGACCAAATCATCGTCACAGTTGGTGCTAATAAGCCTCTATAGAAATATCCTGATATTCTCCTCCAGCTTCCCAATTACGCAGGCATAACAGTGCGTTGTCCTTTTCTTTTCTCTCATCATCTCAGCTCTGTGTCAGCTCTCTTACTAACTTCCGACTTCCTGATAGATCATTGCACCCTCCAATGACGCCTTCAAAAACATCCCCTACACTGCCCTCAACGGCGTGTGGAATGCAACTGATAAAGACACCACTGTGCCTCTCCTGCAATATCACATCCTCCAAGGAACCGTCGCCACAAATGCCCTCCTAACAGGTCCTACCTACGTCCGACCAACCCTCCTGACCAGCAGTCACTACACCAACGTGACGTCTGGGCAAAACGTCCTCATCGCCAAACAACCCGGCGACGACGTCGTCTTCACCACCAGCATGGGCACTCGCTGCACTCTCACCGAGGGCGACATCACCTTCCAGGGCGGTCTGATTCAAGTGGTTGACAACCTGCTCGTGCCTCCCGCGCGTTTGCAAAACACCTCCGAAGCATTCAGCGTACCCAACTTCCTAGGCGCTCTCTATGCCGGCAAGCTCATGCCAAAGGTCTCCTACGAGGAGAACATCACCGTCTTTGCCCCCATCGACAGCGCCTTTGCCACAATCGGTGGTTCTCTCAAGCACATGGATGCCAAGGCCATTGCCCGAATCATGGGCTACCACATCATCCCTAACCAAGTCCTCGTCTCCTCCGCCCTCACAAACGGCACCCGCCTCCAAACCCTCGCCAACAACGCCGCCGGCAACGCCCCCGAATCGCTCGTCGTCCGCCAAGCCGGCAACAACAAATTCGTCAACTCGGCGCAAATCGTGCAGCCCGACATCCTCCTCGCAAACGGCATCATGCACCTCATCTCCGGCGTGCTTAACCCAGACGCCGACGCCGCCGTGCCCAACCCCACGGCCCTTTCCCAAGCGCCCGTTTTCCCCGTGAGCTCGGCCAAAAACCCCTTTACGTCGGCGCTGCCGTGCACCGTGAGCTGCCCCGTCACAACGACGTCGACGAGCAGCACTGTGGATGCGACGACTACGAGCACAAGCGTCTTTACGACGAAAAGCAAAGGCGCTGCTGGGGCTCTTGCCACGGCGGATATACATGCTGCTGGAGTGGCGCTGGGTTTGCTTGGTGCAGGACTGCTGTTTTAGAATTGAGAGTTGTGTTTTTTGTTTTCCTTTTGTATAGAGATGTGTATATCCTCTTTTTCTGTTTGGATTTGAAAATGAGACATGTTCTTTTTTGGAAAAAAGCAGATGTGTGGGCCTTCATTGGTATATGGAAGTAATGGAACGGTTTAGACATTCGTAACTTTTTGTTTTAATTGAGTCGTACCTAATATAAAGGGGCATAATTATCCGTAACTGGAACCTGATTGTAGTAACCATGATGAAACAATGTCACAAATGAGGCTGTCCTAACTACAAAGTTACTTCATATTCGATGAATGCAGCGGATGCTCTACGAGTAGAACTCTATTCAGAGAACACGAAAATATATAGAACAAAACAAATCAACCGACTAATATTCTGTTCGTTAATTGAATGTCGTATTTGCTTGATTTCGTTGTATTTCAGGCAACATAGAGGTAATAGTAGTCTTTAAACTTATATTTGGACAATCAAGTAACTGGCAATACATGATTATCTTCAATATTGGCCGTATCCTATCGGCTGAAAAGTTTTGCAAAGATGCAGGGTAGATAATAATCAAGGAAATAAGAACAAGCACATACATACAAGACATTGCAGTGATATCTCGTCTATCTAAAGGCAACCGCCTAACATACGCAAACCAATTAACCGGGCTCATCTGGCCATCATGATATCTGTAAACTTAATACAAGCACTATGAGTTATGTGAAACCCGCACGGTTCCACTATTGTTGTTTTGTTTGTTCATCTGCCTTGAAATGGCCTCCCATATGCCTTTCCCTTTGCCTTAAGCTCCCAACGCCACCAGTGGTTTTAAAACAAGAAGCAAAGATTATTCCCCAAACCTAAACAGCGTGCGATATTAATAGAGGCTCTTTTCCTCTTTCCGTTTTTACCTATAGTTTCGACCTGCGCCCCGGTCGTCGTCAAAACTGCGGCTGCGACTGCGGCGTCGGGTATCATGATCATCACGTCGGCCTGCTCCATTGCCCCCTCCTCCGCCCCGTCGTCTAGGCCCCGGTGATCTGGACCGAGATCGAGAAGAGTACGAGTCGTTGGACCGACTGCGAAATCGACTGCCACCTCCGCCTCCACGAGATGGAGGGGCTCCGCCAGGTGATCGAGCCGGCGATAACGAGTTGGGTCGGTAGACATCAGATCGAGGGCCGTATCGGCTCGCTGGTGAGAGACGACGGCGCCCACCGCCTCCGCCTCCCCCACCACCACCCATCGGGCCAGAAGGTGGGCCTCCCCCGCGAGAGCTCTGAAAGGGGACTCGAGGGTCAATGTTGGCGCCGCGTCGAGCTGTAGGGGGCGCGGGCGATAGCTTTCTGCGCTGTAGGACGATGGAGACGTTGATAACGGCGCCGTCGACCTGCGCCTCATGCATGTGTGCAATGGCCGCTTCGGCGTCGGCTTCGTGATCGTACAGAATATACGCGGTGCCTCGGTTTGTACCGACTATAGTTCGCCCAAGCGCATGTTAGTAACGAAGACAGATCAAGGGAGGTAATTGAAGGTCGTGGGCGGCTTTGCGGGTGACTGACAACTTCGGTTGATTGGCAGATCAAGATCCTTGATGTGTCCAAATTGACCAAATATTTCATAAAGATGCTCTTCGTTGATGTTTTTCGACAGCCTCTCTACCACAATCTAGTTCATAGCCAAGTTAGCAGCTGCGCTTCTCTCTATCTCAAACTAAGTCCACGAAGCCATCATGCGACCAAGCTTCAAACAAAACACACCTTTGTGCTCTTAGCCAGAGGGCTCTCGCTAGGCGATCGAGAACCCCTAACGCGATCACGACTCCTGTTTCTGCCCGCGCTCCCGTGGCGTCCATTGCGACGAGGCGGCGGCGTAAACGATCGCGATCTGGATCGAGGCGAACGCGACGGGGATCGCGAATCGTAGCGTCGACGGCGATGCGCAGGCGGTGGCGAGCGCGAGTCGTTAGATCGCGGGGGAGTGCGTGACAGCGACCGGCGGTATTCTCGAGACGGTGAGCGCGACGCCATTGCTGGGGAATGAAAAGACTCGGCGCTTTTTTGCTTGGTGGTGGGAAGAAGATTGAAAGGGAGATATCTTGGGGAGCTTTCAGCGAATCCACTAGAGCTCCATCACCGTTTCTGGGAGCGTTGGCGCACCTTGAATGCGTGGTCACGTGATGAACCGGTAAAAACTGAGTGTTTGCAGTTAACAGCTCGGCGACAGCTGTTGATCGCTGTCTAAATCACGAATTAGATGTTGAACTCTATATAAACATGAAATTATCACAAAAGAAGAAGGAAACCTGCACCTCCGGGCACGAAAAAGCTGCAATTAGGTGGTATACAAATTAGCGTATCATTGGGAGGTATGTCACTGTAAATTCAGAGTACTTCCGCAATGAGGTGGAATTTCTAGGATAAGGTAGACTGCTAGTCCCTACTTTAGCATATGGCTCTCCAAAAAGTTTTGGGTATAGAGGTTTGGTATCCCCACAAACTGTTCGGCGATGTCGTCGACGGAGTTGACAAGATGCTTAGATCTCAGGGCCTTTTACAAGCTCCATTAAGGTTTCATCTTCCATGAAGCGCTGAACATTATCAGTTGATGTGTATTCTCCATTGACTGTCATCCAAGTTGAGAAGCCCCCAAAAACCCTTCGTTAAGTCTGCTAGGAACTTGAATGAGATATACTCAAACTGCCACTGGGCATCGAAAGGATAAGATCAGATAATAAGAATCCCGGTATGTGGGGGGGAGGGGCAGAAAAAGAACCCTGAAGCCGCTCTCAATTGCGGGCAGGCGGTGAACTCGTCCCAGCCCGACTTGAAGGATGCTCGGCTGCTGGTGCAAGTAACAATGATGTGCATAGTAAGGCAGGCGGATCTTTTCGTTTTGATGTCAGAGTTGCCATACTAACAGGCTGCAAAAGAGCTGCATGGATCTTGCTGTGAGTGCTGGTGGAAAACCATTAAACAGCAGCCAGAGTAGGACATGTGATAGAGTCATCACTAGAGCGGTGAAAGATGCTGTAGCCTAGCCATACAGCTTCCAGCTCTACCTGGATGGACATCTGTCTTTAGCGAAGCAACTTTTTGGCCACATTAATCTGTGACGGCGTTGCTGGTAAGGAAAGTTCGAGCTCTACCGCCAACTCGTGAGTCCATTTACAGGCAGCCAGTGATGTGATCTGATTGGATTAGAGAAGCTCTTCTAGGTCCTGCTGGTAAGTTACCTGGATGGACAAAATAGGCCGAGGCATGTTACAGAGCTCCCATCGAAACAAAACACTAGCTGCATCACAAATACAAGGTAGAAACAAAGTAGGGCTCGGATCTTTGCTTGTTATGCTCGATCCTGCACTCAAGACCTTGGGAAGACTGTATCACATTTTGACGCATTTTGGCGGCCATCGCAACAGTCATACCATTGGACAAATTATAAAAAACATGGCCAGACATCAGCCCATTATAATTCCTCAGACCCAAAGAGAGCACGCATTATCTCAATTGGTCGGAATGAACGCCTAGCCTGCAAAGTCATACACATAATCCAGCCTGAGAGTCCTCAGGACAACCTCTCCCTTTGAAAATAGTCTGGGGCGTGTCTTCAACGAACTCCATCATTTACAGAACCAACATCCAATAATAATTCGTAATCCTTTCATTTGATCTCGAGCTCAGTCTTTCAAAGCTTCAGAGAACGACGTCTGGTATTCATCATCGACGTTACAAAACAAGGTACTCCAACAAAAGAAAGTAGGGCATCAGTGGTGTGTCGCAACAACTGCAGTCTCTTGTCAGTATTTCGCTACAACTCTCAAAAGTTGACGGGGCAACATACCAGAAGGAACAATAATAACAACTAGGAGAAGAACGATTCCAACAACGATACAGACTCGCATCTTCATGTCCTTCCACCACATCTGCTTGCGGACTCTGTTGGCGCCGCGGCGGAAACCCTGCGCAGATTCTGCCAGGTTATCCGTCTTATCTTGCAGAACATCCAGGCGGTCGCCTCGCTGAGCCACGTTCTCGATGTTCTTTCGCATCACCTGGACGGTGGCGTCGATTTCCTGTGCAAAATTAAAGATTAGCGTTTCTGTCGAGTATTTTTGACATTTTGGACGAGAAAAATCCAATGGAACTGGGGCCGCAGTTCCGAAATCGTTTGATGCTCAGCGACAAAGCCCATTAATGAGCGCACTGTTTGCCCGCCCACGCTGAGCTTTACAGCAAATCGAACCTCGCAGCCAAAAGAAGATTCCGCCTGAAGCCAAAGATTGATCTCGTCCAATTTTCAAGAGCCAACTTACACCTTGGAGCGCCTGTGTGCGCGACTGGCCACCAGCTTGCGGGTCGGCGCCGCCCTTGGGAACGTAGGGATCATATGGAGCTTCGGACATTTTGACGGGGTATGATATTCAATACAAGAGAGTCGGATAGGTAAAACGCAGGAAAGCGAGCGATCGGAAATGTCGAGCGTACTCGAGCGACAGCGGTAGAGGTGTTTTGGTGTTGTTGTGGATATGGAGAGAGGATGGTTCGTAATGGCGGCCAGAGATTTTGAGGAAGACAAGTTTACGTTTTGTCCGCCGAACAGCCCCTTCGCCTAGGGAGCATACCTGCTGGAGGCGTTGCCCCCCAGGCTGACGACAGCGCGGAGACTACGGAACCGCCCCAGCCTCACGTTACCGCAGACACAGGTAGCGAGTACATGGCCCGAGTACGGCCAACTCCGAATCCACTCTTGCAGCGCCCAGCGCCGGCCAGGTTTTTGTTCTTCGATTAATCACGAGGCTGCGTCATTTTGGACATTTATAAGCCTTCATTGACATCGCTGTTTTCATTCTTTCAAAGGTGAAGGTTGACCTGCCAATATGGACTGCCCGGAGAAGGCGCCGGAGTCACCATCCCAAGGCTCCGGGCGCAAGTCCAGACGTCCTGCTTGTACTGCTACATTGCCCCGCCACAGTCCCCCTCTGCCAAGTGTGGCTCTGCGCTCTTCTAACTGATACACGTGATTCTGCTTCCCCTCCCAAGCGGACTGCCTCGTACCAAGAGAATCTCACCTACCGATAATGCTGTCATTGCCAGGATGCAGAGTCTCTACAGGGGAAAATAATCACAGCTGCCCAGCGTGGCCATCTCCAGCGCTGGCCTGCATGCACTTGTCGATTGCAAGCCGAGGCCTCAAACGTGCGCACAGTCACGCAGAAGGCCAAAACTAATTGACCAAAACTCTCCTGTCGCAGGCTGGTTTCATCGCAGACGAAAGCGCCTCGCTTGCGACTTTTGACGCATTCCTGGTCAAAGAGACGGGCGGCTAGTCGGCGCAAAGCGTTTGTGTACCTGAAATCTACTATTAAAAGCACAGAGGACCCCGTACTAGCACAGCAAGCATCTTTATGCTTTATGGACTCCAAAGGCTGAAAGAGCGGCGCCGGGTTCAAACATCTATCCGTGCGCATCACCTCAGCCATTGGCAGGACGCGACAAAGCGAAAAGTACAGAGTACAAAACCTTGATTACGATTACGAAGCCGCCACCTTTTTCAGGCACAGCAAGCCTCGCAGCGTACTGTATGCGTATTCTATCAAGGCGCCATCTTAGTAATCCTGCCTGGCGTTAGGCTCGACTTCTAGCGGATGCTCTCGCCGCTTGGAGCGATAAGTCTGCGACGGTGATCGTACTGTAGCGGTCGGCGTTGAATCAACAGAGAGCACAGCCACTTCATGCACCCTTCAGCAGGACCGAACCAGAGCAAACTACAACGTACATCAACTCGTCTTTGATCAATTACTCTTCAATCTTTCTTCAGACTCCTTGAGGCCTGCTCGAGCAATCATGTATTTCACACGCATTCTTGCAGATCGCAGAGAGCTAAAAGATGGAATGACGTTGTCCTGCCCTATCAAAGTTAGATGCATTTCCGAACCAGATAAGCGATCGCCGTATGACGAGCACCGCTGCTGCAGCGTGCTACAAACATGACCAGAAGAGATTGAGAAACAGCATCTTGTGTTCACGAAGCGACGTCCCTCTTATTGAACATCTTGCTCCGCTGTCTCCAGTCCCCGCCCTTTTGTTTCCCCCCATTCAGCTTGTAGATCCATGTGCACGCGAAGGTTTGGTGGCTCTTGGACTAGCCGACTCCATTCCATCTCCACCAACACAAGCTTACTTTCTGTTTTGCGTGTATGTGCCAGCTGAAGCACCGCAACGGCCAACCACCGTGCAGACAGCAGCCACGGCGCATTTCAGTGAGAAGATCCAAAGGCAAAAATTGTGATGGATTAAACGGTCAGCACCTTGTCCTGATTGCCCGTGCCGCGTAAACAAAAACACCAAAAAGGCCCCCTGGCCGCGGCGGCCCTTGCGATGCTCCCGTTGCGGCCTGTTTCCGCATCTGGCCATCGCCGCCTCTTCTGGCTTCCCACCGGAACAGCGAAGCGGCTCCTGTCCCCCGAACTCAGCAGCCTCTCGCCGGCGCTGGCCTGGTGAATTGTGCGCCGTTTTGCACAGACTGCCGGGCCTCAGCGGGGCCGGTGTGCTATCAGTGCTGCTTGCGGCTCTTCTCTCGTATTTAACCTTGAGAATGGCATCTAGGCCGCATCTCGCTGGTCCAGAGCCAAACTCGCCCTGAGAGAGTTCGACACACCGAAGCCATGCCACCAATGCTATGTTACTGCCAACCACCAAGGTTTTCTGTGGCGTTTCCCCAATTGCCGTCTGCCAGAGGAGCAAGCAAAAGACCGTTGAGAGTTGGCTCCCAGGCCCCGACGCCATGTAACCCCCAAGTACTGTCTCATACAGGCTGCGAGGAGCCAGTACCGTCAGATACTCCATCGCCACTTGGAGCTCGATTCCGTAGCACGAGTCCTACCCAGATGGTGCTCCTCAACTCTGTTCGTACGTCAGGAAATCGTCAAGCCGCTCTTGCTCGGCTCGATGCCGCGAGCTATCGATGCAAGCGCTTCCGGAGCCGATGGCAGCTCCAGCCGCATGGCTTCTGGATATCTGCCATGCAGACAACTCTGCTTGTTTCCCATGTGCTGTGTTTCCCTTCTTTCTCCACAGACGCTGCCTGTTGTCCTGTCTTCGTTTCTTTTCTTCTTCTTTGTACTCTTCCCTTGAGTCTCATCTCAGAGTCTCATCTCATCTCTCGTTTCTCGCTCAACGTCACTCGCTTAGTGAGCTCGCGTGGTGCCCAGGATACTTGCACCTTTCCTGGTGCTCGAGTGTGAATCGCAGGCCGATGGATCTGAAGTTGTAGCGTATAGTGGTCTCTTTGCCTCCTATACTCCCTCGATCGACCACCTGTTTACTTGTACCACCGGCCCATGAGATCCTCTATCGCTACCAATTTTAAGCCTCGTGTCTGATACACGTATTTGCAAACATGGAAAATCCAAGTCGAGCGCCGCTGCTGGTCCGCCTGGCCATGACATTGCTGTTGACAACTAACCAGTTTACCCTGGCCTACGACTTGGACCCCGATTCTCGTGGTAGGATAAGATCAGCCCAGCCATTCTCCACATTGGGACAGTCACTAATGGGGACTTTTATAGAGTCTATAACGTCGATATCCAAACAAATGGCGGAGGATTTGGTATCTTTCTATAAGGGCAATGAGCTTGGCCAAACACCTGGTCTTCTCCCCGACCCATATTACTGTATGTATCTAATCTCTCAAGCAGTCTTTCCACATTACTCCGTCGCACGTTACTTACAAATAGAATCAGGGTGGGAGGCAGGTGCTATGATGGGTACTCTCGTCGATTACTGGTATTATACGGGCGATGATGCTTATAATGATATCACCCAGCAAGCGTTCCTTTTCCAAGTCGGAGACACCAACGACTACATGCCAAGAAACCAAACTCGGACAGAAGGTAATGATGATCAGGGCTTCTGGGGACTTTCCGTCATGTCCGCTGCCGAATACAACTTTCCAAACCCGCCTGCCGACAAGCCACAATGGCTTGGTCTCGCCCAAGCTGTATTCAACACTCAGGCTTCTCGATGGGATACAGAGTACTGCGACGGTGGTTTGCGGTGGCAAATTTTCTCATGGAACAATGGCTATGACTACAAGGTAGGCTAGATACGTGCTGTGTTCCGGCACACAGCTTAACATTGACTCCAGCTGACAACATATATAGAACTCAATTTCACAAGCGTGCTTCTTCGCTCTCGGTGCCAGATTGGCTCTGTATACCGGCAACCAGACCTACGCCGATTGGGCCGAGAAGGCGTGGGATTGGATGATAGATATCAAGTTCATCAATACCACAAACTGGTACGTTTATGACGGCGCCAGTGTCAATACCAACTGCACCGTCCTCACGCCGTATCAATTCACATACAATGCCGGAGGCATGATTCTCGGTGCAGCTGCCATGTACAACTATACAGAGTCGCAGGTGTGGAAGGATCGCCTAGACAATCTCGTCACTGGCAGCAAGGTCTTCTTCACGGGCCCCCATAACAACATCATGACAGAAGTTGCGTGCGAGTCAGTCGGTACTTGCAACGTCGATGAGCACTCGTTCAAGGCATATTTGAGTCGCTGGCTAGCCAACATGACCAAATGGGCCCCTCATACTTATAATACAATCATGCCATACCTCCGAGCGTCCTCGATTGCGGCGGCGAAGCAATGTGTCGGCGGCAAGAATAAGCGCATGTGCGGCCTCATCTGGAACAACGGCACTTACGATGGAACGACTGGTGTCGGCCAGCAAATGGCGGCTCTTGAAATTACAATGGCCAATCTGATTGGAGATAGTGCTGCTCCCTTCACTGCCGACAGGGGAGGCACCAGCCAAGGAGACCCTGGTGGTGGTGGCAGTGATTTGGGTCGGAATACGCCAAAGGGCCCAGACTACAGACCCATCAATGGAGGCGACAGGTTTGGGGCAGCCATTCTCACGATTCTTGTTATTGCGAGCGTGGTTGGGGCCATTGGCTTCCTTTTGCTAGACGAGACAACCGGTCAAGGGCCTATGGCTCAGGTAAAAGGGTTGTATTCTTCTGCCAAGGGATTTTACTCATCTGCCTCGGCGGCCATCACCACTCTTGCGGCGGGTGGAGGTTTAGCTGCGGCGGCGGCTGCCAGGCGGAAAAGGAGCGAGAAAGAGAAAGGAGTCGTTGTCAATGAAAAGGCTGTTGCCAATAGCAGAGATTCAGGAAGCAATGGCAGTCTACAGGGCGGTAGCTCTAACAATACTTCGCCAGAAGCTGCTCTGATTGCTAACCGGTCGGCTCGGCATAGCAGGGCAGGGCGGAGGCGACTTTCAAATATGCCAGTAGGTTGGCCACAGAACCCATCCCTTAGGAACAGTGTTGTTGTGGTGGCCGAGTCGTCGTCCGCAGGGGCATCTACTGAAGGGAGCAGTAACAGAGCATTATGAGGCTGATTTACTACTACCACAGAGTGGCTTATTAGTATTTGGGGCACTTGGCGCATCTCTCAGCGTTTTCTTGTATCTACTTCATCTTGGTAACCATTTTTACCGGAGGATGCTCTCTTTTGTATTTCTGATGGCGAATCTGGGGTATCTGGAGGGTAATCATGTTGGGAACAGGGACGAGACTGCCCATTTTTTTTTTGGCTTGGCTAATCATGTTACATAAGAGGCTTCAAGAACTTGTGTAAAATGGCATTGGTGTGCTATATTTTTATCTCAATGGCGTAACATGCAAGTAGGATAAATGGCTGAGAGGAGAGGATACATTGGCTTACAACGGCAAGAAGCCTCTTGTAGTGGTGACAGTCATGTGAGAAATTAGTAGCAACGCTGGAATAATGCCTCACCAAATATGTAAAGTATAGTATACGGGTAGTGTAGTAGAAGGAATGAGTCTGAGGTAAACTGGCATGTAAAGATGATATCATCTTAATCCAGAGATATTGAGCCCATAAAGTATATCATGGCAGCATAAATACTAGTACCTTACTTATCTAGATACTTGGGAGTTTTCTTATTGCTCCGGCTACTGGACAGCAGCGTTGTCGCGAGATAAGGATTAAAGTATCACACAGATTGGCAAATAGTATATACATGCACTTGGTTATACCTGGCGACAATAAGAAAGCCATCTCATGGCTGATTTCAGACAGAGTTCTCAACTACTGTAGTTGATTTTGAAGTTAGTAGGGTAGCAGCTTGCTCCGCTAAACAAAATACAAGTACTGGGTACCCTGCCAGCCCAAGTGGGCCGGTGGATAATTGAGCCGATCTTGGACCCTTCGCCGCTGGCTAACATCTTTGAATTGTACGACTGCGGAATTGCTTTGCTGCATCCTCAGGGGCTCTCTGGGGCCGCAGCAACATGTCTCTCAGTCGCCGCGATGCAAAAAAAGCAAGAGGGGACCGCGACAATTCGTCCCTCTTGTCCGCGATGGCATACGACGATGACGCGTCATCCATTAACAGCCGAGACCAAGATACGGACAGCGAAGACGATGCCCTGCAGCAGCGTGCGAGGAACAGCCGCGAACTCCTTGCCCACGACCGGATTGTGCTGATGGAAGAGGAGGAACTGGACCAGCTGGTGACAAAGTCAAGACGAAATCAGGAGCTGGTGCGACGAGGCTCAGCGCTTGCGCTCCCCAATCCATTCAAGAATCTGGTGCGCAAGCCCAGTCTGGGGAGCATATCGACTGGCGGCAGTTCCTCGAACGAGAACCTCGTGGCGGAAAAGGGCAAGGGCTCGTCGGAGAACAAAAAGCAAAAGAGGCGTGCAAGACGGGAAACGAAGCGCCAGAGGCTCCTGGAAGAGGCCCAGCATGGCGAGGACGGCGAGCTGATGTACGAAATGGAAGAGGGAGGCATGAAGGAGGGCAGCTCCACCGGATCCAGCAGCGAAAGCGAGGAGTACGATCGCCATAACCTCCATGCTTTTGCCAATGCAAAGGCACAGCGAGGAAGGGGCTGGCGCCGCTGGCTATTCATTCACTCATTAATCGCTATTGGGTTTGCGATTCTGGTTCTGGCTTCGTGGAAGCTTTCAAAGGGGCGCAAGTCGGCGAAATCGTCCAAAGTTCGTCTTGTCAGCAACGGAACTGCGCTGTTTGCGCCTACCACTATCATTATCAGCCTCGACGGTTTCCGTGCCGACTTTTTACAGCGGGGAATTACGCCAAGGTTAAACGCCTTTGTCAAGGAGGGCGTTTCTCCCAAATGGATGCACCCGTCGTTTCCCTCTGTTACATTCCCCAACCACTATACCCTGGCGACAGGTCTATACCCCGAGGCTCACGGCATTGTGGGCAACACTTTCTGGGACCCTGAGCTGGAGGCAGAGTTTCACTACACTGATCCAGCCCGAAGTCTTGACCCCAAGTGGTGGGGCGGAGAGCCGTTCTGGGTGACGGCTGAGAAGCAGGATGTCCGAGCTGCAATTCATATGTGGCCCGGAAGCGAAGCGCACATTCTAAACAAGGAGCCTGCCTTTGTTGACAAGTATAATGGCAAGGAAGAGCTGGATAACAAGGTTTCAAGGATTCTTGGGTGGCTGGACATGCCTGGGAAAGAGAGTGGATCTGTCGCAGTTGTGGAGATGAGACCACAGCTCATTGCAGCGTATGTTCCCAACGTCGATGGCCATGGTCATGCGTATGGACCAAACAGTACAGAGATCCAAGCTACGATTCAAAAGGTTGATTCGATGATGGACAAGATCTTCAAGGGACTTGACGAGCGAAATTTGACAGACATTGTCAATGTCATTGTTGTGTCGGACCATGGCATGGCTACGACGGATACATCTCGGGTGCTCCAATTAGAGGATCTCATCGACACCTCGAAGATTGAGCACACTGACGGCTGGCCTTTGTATGGACTTCGGCCAAAGAATCCCGATGATCTACAAGGTCTATACGACGGCTTGGCGGAAAAGGCCAAATCTAATCCCAACTTTGACGTCTATCTCCGTGATGTGAATATGCCGGAGCGATATCACTTTTCTAAAAACGACCGCATTGCTCCTCTATGGATTGTGCCAAAGACTGGCTGGGCTATTGCTGCCAAGGAAGAATTTGATGTTGAGGAGGCCAAGAAGAAGAACCTTGTATACCATCCTCGTGGTTTACATGGGTACGACCACGAACACCCGCTGATGAGGGCCATCTTCATTGCAAGAGGCCCAGCATTTCCTCATCCGGCGAACAGCCAAGTCGATGTTTTCCGTAAGTTCAACAGTCTCATGGATTGTGGAAGGTGGCTAACTGTTTTGTGAACTAGAAAACATCGAAGTCTACAATTTGCTGTGTGATTCGCTGGGCATGACACCGAAGCCCAACAATGGAACGTTGCGTCTGCCCTTTAAGCCGATTGGCACCCACAAATCGGAAGACGAGCCAAAGATACCGCAAGATCCGGTTACATCATATTCTCTCACTTCGGCGTCGTCTTTACAAGCTGCAAAGACTAAGACTATTGAGCGCCCCTCGGTGCCGCCCAAGCCAACAACAACTTCTTCTTCTCCGGTTGCTGAGCCGACGCATTTGACTTCCACAACAACCACCTCAAGTGTAGCTGCAGCAGGGACGCCAACGCAGAAGCCACAAGATCAAGATGGTGGCGCTGGGAAGGACGAGGATTCCCCGGACAAACCGCAAAGCATATGGGACTGGTTTTCGGATAAGTTTGATAAAGTTTGGCATAAGATCACTGGCGAATCTAAGGATTCAAATTGAGGGGTAAAGTCTAATTTTCCCTATACAGCGTGGCTTTTTGATTGTTTATATTCACTTTAGAGGCGTTGGGCTGGCATATATAGGTGCTTCTGTATACTTGGATCTTCCTTCTTTTGAAATCAGGGGCAGGTAAAATAGCGTGAGCGTAGTCTTTCAATCTTCTTATTTCTTATTTTTGTAATATTAATATATAAATACATATCTGTGCTAATAAAACAGCGTGAGCATGTTCTCTTCTCTCTCTTTCGCCTGTGGTTTGGCGTTACGCGATACTTCAACCTTGCCTTTCATTTTTTTCTTTCAGAGGGATATAGATGGCTGTCGTTGTAAAGCGCATGTAAATATTCAATATCATTACATGTAATACGTATTCATACCGAAGACATCAATATTCGGCTCAGCTGCAATTGTTGGATGCGGCTCCAAAAAGCGCTGTTGGGGTATGTTTTGTGCACAGGCAGCAAACGCCCAGCACAGGCCCCATAAATCCAGCCCCTACAAAATTGCTTCTTTCAGCCAGGGCCCCACCGGCCTACGGCAGGTCGTGCATTAACTGTGAAAATCAATCTACCTCTACAGAATGCTTACGCGACGCGCCGCATCATTAAAGCACCTTGGTGGCTACTTTCATCATCTTCACGGCCTAAGCCTCATTCTGCATCTCGGCCACTTCATGGCAGATTTCTGCAGGCGCCTCAACGCAAGCTGGACACCCGCTTTCCGTGCCTTCCCTTTCCATGACGATACCGCTGTATTCATGCCTGACTAGCGTGGCCAACATTTTCTTTTACTTTGCTTCCAGCTGGAATTGCGTTTTTGTCTGACAGCACACACACGCCTTAAGTAACACCGATTCAAGGGCGTGCATAACCTCATTGGCGCAATCGTCACCGAAGAGGAGTCGTCGATTCATGGGCATCGGAAGACGAAAAAAAGAAAAGAGAAATAGGCTGGGGCTTACTGCCTAATCAGGCCCCTCCACCATCCACCACCCCCCCGTTGCTGTACAGCCTCACAACCTTTTCCTTTTTTTTTTTTCTCTTCCTGCACGGCTGTGGGTGCCAATAGAGCGAGGCCAGCGCATGCGATGAACTGTCAGGAGCTCCAGGAGGAGCTGACGGTCCAGGAGGTGATTCTGGACTCGCTGCAGGGCGAGACTTTTGAGGGTGTGGAACAGGACCGTGAGGAGGCTCAGGCGGAGATCTCGAGGCTTAAGAGGGCTTTGCAGGCGCTTCGCAAAGCTAAAAAGGACGAACAAGGTACGAAGGGAAAAAACCGTTATTCATTACCTTACCTTTCTTTTTACCTTTATCTTGCTACTGCTTGCTCACAATGGCTTATTGGTTTGGAGGTGCTGATATGATGCTCTTAGATGGCCGACGGGTAACACCGCAGCGGGGCATGGGCTCAGATGTCCCATCAACGCCAGGTAAGCATTTGCTTTTTCGATTTTATGCTCTCTGGTACCTCTCGATGCTTCTGTCCAATTTCCTGGAGTCATCGCCATGTGTTGTCGTCTGATATCACTATTTGGTGACTTGGGCGTCGCCCCTTCTTCTGTCTCCTCTCGGCCTCACTTAGGCTTTCCCTCTCTTTTTGCATCTCCAATATGGAGAGAAGCTTGTGCTGCAAAAAATTAAGAAAGTCAAGAAAGAAGAAAAAATTCACAAGTTCACGGTTTCACAAACTCTCCTTTTCGCTTCTGGTCTGTGCATTTGATACATATTTTCCTTCCTGCCTCCCTTGCATCGTAATTTTTTTTCCACCTCTCGCTGCCTTGCATTCACGCCACTTCACTGGCTGGATTATATCAAGAGGTGAAAGTTCTCTATCTTATCACCAGAGCCTCAGTTACTCCTGTGTCGGCAAAGGTCTCAGTCACTCGGTGCTTGCTTGTTTCAGCAAACGCTCCTTGGGCCTGCTCTTTGTGCGACGTAAAAGGTGCCCAATTGGCTGCCTGTTCCCGCCTCTTCTCCCGAACATATCTTCCTAATTTTACTCCACCAACAACTATTCTTGACTTTGTCTGCTCGGGGACATTTAAACTCTTTGATGCTGATATTTCTCTTCTATCAAACAAGGCAATAACCCCGGAACACCGGCTACTGCTGGCCCATCGAGGTCGCACTACAGCCCAGCCGTCATGGAGACTCCACGCAGACAGCTGACCGCTGCAGATGGAGTGAGTCCAGCCTCGTTGTCGCTGCGGAATCGAAAGCGGGACTTTGAGTCAACCCACCTGCATGGTGGCCGTGAGTCGAGTAAGTCTCGACGAACGACTCCAGTTCCATTTGGTGGCCGGCCAAGAGCTGTTGCTCCCTCACTATCAGACGAAGAAGTCGAGATCATTGACCTGACTGGGTATGTTAGCTCTGCAAATCCCTTTGTGACTCTTTCGCCATGTTCAAATCTTTCGAAACTGACCGGCTTTGTAGAGCTGATGTGGAAGCCGATGCGACGTTCATTGCAGAGCAGATCCGACAAGTACAGAGGCACGAGCAAGAAAAAGCAGATAGAGAGATGGCAATCCTTCTGTCAAGTCAAGACTCGCAATCTTCGTCCCATCGGGCTTCTGGGCCGCCTAGAAGCTCTGATCCCCAGCAGCGTTCAGCTTTTGACCGAATAATGGCCACACAGCGCTCGAATGCGCCTGGAGCTCCCTTAGACGTCTTCTCTGGCGATGCTTCAAGACCTCCAAATCCTCGAGTCGAGTCCAATGGATCCCAGTCAGCACCATGGAACTCGACTGGGGCCGAATCTTCACCAGCCTCGAGTCTTGATGACCCGTTTAACTTTATATCAAGCTTTGTAGACCCACAGCAACTACAAGTTGAATATCCCATCGGCACTCCTAATGCAAATTTTATGCCCGGATCATTTACACCTATGAGTCAACCTTTTACTCAACCTTTTGCAGGCCCACCTTCTCATAGGAATGGGCAAATGCCAGGAACGTTTCCTGGCATGGCCGGAGCACCGACTCTTGGAAGCAATGCTAACCGGACGCCATTATCAGATATTATTAATAGAACAAGCATGTTTGATTTTGTCAACGGGTTGGATGAGAATGGAAATCCGCTTCCAGGCCGCATCATGGATTACATCAACGAATCGTTGTATGATCCTAAAGTCACGGATCAGGAGTTGGATGACTTGTTGAAGAACATCCGCCCGGACATGGAGATCCCAGAAGCCAATCGTGTTGGAACGCCAGAGGGCCTTAAGAATTCCCTCTACCCTCACCAAATACTCGCGCTGACATGGATGAAGAAGATGGAGGAGGGAACCAATAAGGGCGGCATTCTGGCTGACGACATGGGCCTTGGCAAGACCATATCAACGTTGGCCCTTATGCTTTCCCGCCCGGCAGATTCGCGCCCCAAGGTGAGTCTCAATTAGGTTCCGCTACGCATCTTATCTTACGCCTTTTTTGTGCTAACAAAACTTTTTGGTAGACTAACTTGGTTATTGGTCCACTGGCCTTGATTCGACAATGGGAAGAAGAAATATACAAAAAGACGAGACCATCACATCGACTGTCCGTGTTTGTATATCACAACAAAAAGGCGACGACCGATGAAATTCTCAAATACGACGTTGTATTGACAACGTATGGCACAATAGCTCAAGAGTTGAAGCGGCTTGACAAATACATAGAAGATAACTCGGGCCGTAACATCGATTTTAACGATCGAGCTATTGCAACCAAGTTTCCCCTCTTAAATCCGAGCAAGTCCTCTTTCTACCGAGTTATTCTCGACGAAGCGCAGTGCATTAAAAACCAGCATACCAAGACTGCCAAGGCTTGCCATAAGCTAAGAGCGACGCATCGATGGTGCCTCACTGGAACTCCTATGATGAACGGGGTCGGCGAGCTCTTTTCCTTATTGTGCTTCCTTCGCATAAAGCCGTACTGCGTGTGGGATCAATTTCGCCAGGTAAATCCTTTTTGTCCTCGACCCTGTATTGTATACTTCGAGTCATCGAGCTAACTACTGGCAGAGTTTTGGCGTGCTCTTTGGGAAAAATGGTGATCCCAAAAGTGTTGCCATGAGCAGGCTTCGTGCTCTCCTCAAAGCCATTATGCTTCGTCGTAAAAAGGACTCCAAGTTGGATGGAAAGCCTATTCTCCGGCTGCCGCATAAGCACGAAGAAGTCTTGTATGCCGAATTATCCAAAGATGAGCGCGATTTCTACAATCAACTGGAAAAGAAATCGCAGGTACAATTCAGCAAATATCTACGCGATGGCAGCGTGGGCAAGAACTATTCGAGCATCCTCGTTCTGTTGCTTCGACTACGACAAGCATGCTGCCATCCCCATCTCAACCTTGACGTGGATGACACTGCACCAATCTCTAGTGAAGATATGCTTCAGCTAGTCAAGAATCTGGACGCCAATATTGTGGCAAGGATCAAAGAGGCTGATGCGTTTGAGTGTCCCATTTGCTATGATGCTGTCCAGTCTCCCATGTTTTACATCCCTTGTGGACATGATTCTTGTCAACAGTGTCTGACTCAGCTGGCCGACAGCGCAGCTGCGACGAATCTCCAAGAGGGCAATGAAAGTGACAAGGCTAAGTGCCCTGTTTGCCGTGGACTTTTTGATCCTAGAAAGTGTTTCACCTATGATGCATTTCAAAAAGTGCACATGCCCGAATGTGTCGAGCCGTCAGCTGCTGAAGAAGAAGAGACTGACAGTTCAGACGATGACGAGGATGACTCTGATGACGGGCTTGATGACGAGTTGGATCGTTATGGCGATCTGAAAGGCTTCATCGTACACGATGAACCCGAAGAGGATATTGAGTCGGAATTTAAAGAGGAAAAGAAGAAGAAGAAGGGAAAGGGCAAGAAAAAGCAAGCCGAAGTCAAGCCCTCTATGCTAAAGACTCTTCGCCACGAAGCATCCAAAAACAAACAAGCGTTCAAGAGGTACATGAGCTACTTGCGGAAGACTTGGCTGCCTGCTGCCAAAGTATCGGAGTGTATGGATCTTTTACGACAAATTCACGAAACTGGAGAAAAGACGATTGTGTTTTCTCAGTGGACCCTTTTGCTGGATTTACTGGAGGTGGCTATGTGGCACGACAATTATCCAGGCAAACTGAGACGATACGATGGAAGCATGAGCTCAGAGCAGCGATTTGATGCAGCAAAGGACTTTCGCGATAAGAACGACGTCAAGGTAATGCTGGTATCTCTTCGCGCGGGAAATGCTGGACTCAATCTCACTGCCGCTTCTCGCGTTGTTATCATGGACCCCTTTTGGAATCCATACATTGAGATGCAGGCTGTTGATCGCGCTTACCGCATTGGCCAAAAGAAGGAGGTGAAGGTATACCGCATTCTAACACGTGAGACTGTCGAAGATCGAATCGTCGAGCTCCAGAATCGGAAGAAGGAGATGGTGGAGGCGGCCTTGGATGAGGCTGAGAGCATGAAGATTGGACGTCTCAATGTGAACGAACTAAAATTTCTTTTCAACAGCCGCTAGAGTGCTATCAAGATGCACTGGCGAGCTTTCTTTTTCTTTTGTTTTCCCTTCTATGTTGTCCTATCTCTTCTCTCTTTGCGAATGAATGAGCGGTTTGAGAAATGATTTGCTTTTCAAGAGGATTGATTTGTTTTACTTTTCTATTTTGCGATGGTTCGCGATGGTTCGACAGCAAGACAGTCTTTATAACACCTCCCAAGAATGTTTTTGGGAACTAAGACGTTGCTTTATCAATAAAGGAAGGGTCAAGGAATGTATAGGTTTGCGAGGGCTGAGAGTAGTTGATATCTCACCTATTTGATGAGAGAAAAAAATGAAGTTGATGATAGATATAACGATAGTTTACGCAGAAGCTGAAAAAATTACTTCTTTAGTGGAGATACTAAAAGATGCATAATAGGTACTAAATTTGAAATTTACAGTTGATGAATCCTCAAATTGACGAATCCTCAACTTGCTGGAAGCGAAACTCCTATAACCCTTTTTATATATGGATGCCTATGGTGAAGCATCAGAGTGCCAACCGCTATTTGCAAAAGACGCATAATCGAATATCCCCATTTGTATCTCTGTCTCTGGTTCGTCGACTTCCTCCTCATTGTATTCCCAGCGTGCAAGCCTCTCTCTCTAGGAAGGAGCCTGTTCCGCGATGAGCGTCTTCACAACCTGCTCCGCTGACGTCGTTTCGCTAGGCCCATTCACCGACCATTTCCACGTTTTAGTTTCTTCTTCGCTCTGCGCCGCATTGTTGACGTAGAGAATGAGCTGTTCGGCGTCACCCGCGTGCTCGAGGGCAAAATCGATGTCAAATGTCTTCTTGTCGGTCCTTTGGATAGAGGTGTCGTGGGCACTTTCCACAAGGGTGGCTGTGGCGGTGGCGTTATCATCGCCGCTTATTGAAGGGGGAGGCGAGGGAAGCATCTTGACAAAGTGATTTGTGAGGACGCGGGCGATGGCGGTGCGGAGGTAGTCGCCCAGGGCCTGGGCGCTGGGATATCCTTCTGACCAGGGGGGACATAGAGCCGGGAGAGGGGATGAAGGGGGCAGAAGGATGTAGTAGTAGGTTGCTGTGACGGGGAAGCTGAATGAGCGGCCGCGGATGGTGAGAGATACGTCAGGGAGAATGGTGAGCTCGATGGTGAAGTCTTGCGTTTGTAGGAGATTGCGGACCAAGGTGTGTGATGCGGATAGCTGGTTTGGTCCGCGCGAACTGGGGTCGGAAGCAGTTGTTTGCGTGGTGCGTAGGATAAAAGAGGATTGAATGCCGGCCTTTTGGAGGGTTCGTACTAATAAGCCCGTCTTTTGCATAGATTCCTCAACATTCTTGAGGTACATGGTGCGCGCAAGGACCGGGCGGAGGAGAGCATAGGATTGCTGGCGAGTAGAGCGGGAGATGTGAGGAGGGATAGGTCGTATTCTCATGAGCTCGTTGTGTCGATGCGCATAGCTGAGAAGAATGTGCAGAGCCATGGATATCTTTTCTGCCAGGCCGTTTTCTGGCATGTCCTGTGCAGGCGAGGGACATGATTCCAAAGGCAGCAGTTCCAGAGTGATTTTTGTTGTTTCGTCGATTTGGCAGGCCAGCTTCCTGCCTTCGGGTTTCACGTCGTAGGCAGCTAATGAACGCGACTCTTTGGTGAGCTCATGCCACAGCTCTTGCGAGAAGATGGTGTTGCGTGCTTCTAGCACTCGGGCTTCTAGTGATTCGTCGTCAGAGGACGGCCGTGTGGTAGATCGCCCGATGACTTTTCCATCCTTTTCGTATGTTACGACGAGGGCTTCAGAAACACCACCTAGTCGGCCAAAGTCGAGATCTGCAGAGCCATCGTCACCACGCCGCATAGGCGCTAAACCATTATTTTTAAACTCGGCGGCAGCTGGGAAAGTAAGTTAGCATCTTGCCCTTGGGTATACTAGTTGAGCCTAAACGTACCCTCCGAGAAACCAAATCTGACTCCCAAGGTATGTCTCTCCTGCGGGACTCTGCTTATGGACCAACCGGCCTTCTTGACTCCGACGATATCCTCCCAGTATTTACTCTCAGAATTTATCTCTTTTTCTAAAAATGAAGCAGCCTCTTCTGCAGAATCTCTAGTCTTGTTGATCTCCAGAAGGGTCCACCCCATGGCGATCGCTTCTTTGTCCTTTGTTTTAGCAGGCGTAACATTCGAATCGTTGAGCTTGTCTGCGCCCAAGGTGCCAATGCCGACCATGTCGCGGAGCTGTTGTGATAGCGTCAAGCCTGCTTGTGTTGGGTTCTGCTTGGAGAGGAGGAGAGACATGGAATCGAGGGTCAACAGAGCGGCGTTACCGGCTATACTGTAAACATGGCGCGTCAGAATGGTGGTCTCAAGGGTTGATGGCCTCAAATCATGTAAGAGCATCCATACTCGATATTCTTCAACACTTCCATCCGCGCAACACCGGGATCCTTCTCCGCTACGTCAGCCTCCCCAGCGGCCTCGGACGGTTCTTCATCTTCGTCGTCAGCCGCATCGGGATCCTCGCTGTTCCTGAGTTCTTCGCGGAGCTTGTCCTCTGTTATGGAGCGGAAGCCCCCCGGCTGGGCATTGACTCGAGCAATGAATTCGGCGAGATTCTTGGGCTTTTGGTCGGCAACGGGAAACGGCCGCAATGAAAGCGGCGGACCGCCTTCTGACGACATGACGAGGTTCAATGCGTAGTAGATGTTGAGGCTGGAGGTGTTGGTAGCCTCATTGACGTCGTGCGGTTCCGATGGCCAATCGCGACGCTGTTTGTAGATGATCAGTAGCTTCCACCACCGACAAGGCTGAAGCTCCAGCGAAGACTGGACAAGGTGGAGAGGTTGAGCTTCAAGTCGTCTCTGATTCGCTGTCTGTTGCTGCTACGTACCGGTGCTTGTTGTTCGCGCGTAGAATACAAGCAACTCACAGCCTCATGACGTACTAACCGAAGTTGCACTAGCTGCTAGCGCTCTTAAACTTCGCAAAGCTCCGAAGCTGAGGCCCTAATGGCATTACTACAGGGGCCTCTAGCGCTGTAACCGCCGACTGCCGGAGGTCCGTGGACTGGGATGTCTCGCCGCCGGTATCGAAGGATGTCCCTTGAATTTGTGCTTCACACCGACTCACAAATTCCCTCATTGCCATTACGTGGTGCTTGTAGTCAATGTTCAATTGCTTTCCTTGCATCCTGTGCGTGTATCGCGCCACTATAAAATGGCGCCAGGAATCAGATGGAGGGGGCCCGATTTATAGTGGTGCTTAGACCTGTACCTTGCTGGTGCTTGGACCTATTACGTAGGAGGGGTTACCAGCCGTAAATGACGGAATGGACGAATAATCTTCTTGTCAGAGATAGCCACGTTCTGACGTCCAAATGCGGATTATGATTAGGTTCAGCTTAGAGTTTGTATAGCAGCGCTTTATGATTTCTTCAAACCTTTCTCCCTCTTTCATAGTTCCATCGAGTAGCTCTGAGGTTGCGTTGGGTAAATATCACAGAGGGCAAAGGAAAAAAAATTAAAGAGCCCCGCCAACTGATAGCATCGCATTTAAGGGCCGATAAGAGCTTCTCGTCGCCAATTCCCCTCATGCCACTTTAAACTACACCAACATCCCATATCCTGTATATCTTATCCACCACTTAATATTGTTTATCCTTGGGCTCACGGGCGACGGGCCCCTTTAAATGCCTCTCCAGCATTACCTAGACTTCTTTCCAGGGCCCATTGACATCTTATTAACCTTTCGTCGCTTCTTTCGACGCATCTGGCAGGCCCTCTTCCGCGGCATCGGATACTCCACGACGGCCTCGTTTGCGAACATACCATCCACGATGACTGTCAAGAAGAAGATTGCCGTCATGACCTCGGGAGGCGACTCCCCGGGCATGAACGCCGTTGTTCGCGCCGTCGTCCGCATGACCATCCATATGGGTTGTGACGCCTTTTGTGTCTACGAGGGATACGAGGGTCTGGTGCAGGGCGGCGACCTCATCAAGAAGATGGGATGGGACGACGTCAGAGGCTTCTTGTCCGAGGGCGGCACTCTGATTGGCACTGCGCGATGCATGGCCTTTTACGAACGACCGGGCCGGTTGACGGCGGCCAAGAACATGGTGCTCAACGGCATCGATGCCCTTATCATCTGCGGAGGTGACGGCTCTCTGACCGGTGCTGACAAGTTCCGGGCTGAGTGGCCGTCGCTGATTGATGAGCTCGTTTCCAACAACGAGCTGACCGCCGAGCAGGTTGCGCCGTACAGGCACCTGAACATCGTCGGTCTCGTCGGATCCATTGACAACGACTTGTCCGGTACGGATGCGACAATTGGCTGCTACTCGGCGCTCTCCCGTATCTGCGAAATGGTCGACTACATCGAGGCAACCGCTTCTTCGCACTCTCGTGCTTTCGTTATTGAGGTCATGGGACGACACTGCGGATGGCTGGCTCTGCTGGCGGGAGTTGCGACGGGAGCAGACTTTGTCTTCATTCCCGAGCGGCCAAGAGATCACGATTGGAGAAAGGACATGAAACTTGTGGTACAACGCGTAAGTTCTGATCAATACTGCTCTTCGAACCTATGAGCATCACGACTAACTTGTTGCCTTTTTTCTACTAAATAGCACCGCAAAATGGGGAAAAGAAAGACCATCGTCATCGTTGCAGAGGGTGCCCGAGATAAAAATGGCACCAAGATTTCTCCCTCGGAAATCAAGGATCTGCTGGCAGACACCAGCGAGGGCGGCCTCGGCCTCGATACCCGAATCACCACCCTGGGACATGTTCAGCGAGGAGGCACAGCCGTGGCCTACGACCGCATGCTTGCCACACTACAAGGCGTTGAGGCCGTAAAGGCTGTGCTAGAGGCCACCCCCGAGACCGAGACTTGCTTCATTGCTATCAACGAGAACAAGATTGTGCGAAAGCCACTCATGCAGGCCGTCAAGGAGACGAAGGAGGTCGCCGTTGCTGTTGACGCCAAAGATTTCGACAAGGCCATGGGTCTACGAGACACTGAATTCTCAGACCAATACAAGTCCTACCTGACAACCACAAACGTCCTGATTGACGACCACAAGCTACCCGAGAAGAACGTTAGTCTCTTTCCCCTCACCCTGAAGATAATGATAAATACTGACACTTTCCTTAGCGAATGAAGATTGGATTCATCAACGTTGGCGCTCCTGCTGGCGGTATGAATGCCGCTGTGCGCGCAGCTGTTGCATACTGCCTCTCTCGTGGACACGAGCCCCTTGCTATTCACAATGGGTTCGCCGGATTCGCTCGCCACCACGGTGATTCGCCTCTCGGAGCTGTCCGACCATTCGACTGGCTCGAGGTCGATGGCTGGGCCAGCAAAGGAGGGTCTGAGATTGGTACCAACCGTGAACTGCCTTCAGAGTCCGGCATGGAACTGATTGCTAATCTCATTGAGGAGTATCAATTTGATGCTCTCTTCATTGTTGGCGGTTTCGAAGCATTCCACGCCGTCTCGGAGCTGCGCAAGGCCAGGGATCAGTATCCATCGCTCTGCATCCCCCTTTGCCTCTTACCGGCAACCATCTCCAACAACGTTCCCGGTACTGAATACTCACTGGGATCAGACACTTGTCTCAACGAGCTGGTCAACTACTGCGACAAGATTAAGCAGTCCGCTTCCGCCACACGGCGCCGTGTCTTTGTTATTGAGACTCAGGGCGGACGTTCCGGTTACGTTGCTACATTGGGAGGCCTCAGTGTGGGAGCCTCTGCCGTCTACATTCCCGAAGAGGGAATCAGCCTCGAGATGCTCAACGCAGACGTCAAGCACCTCAAGGAGGTTTTCAACCAGGACAAGGGCCAGTCTCGCGCGGGTCGCCTTATTCTCATCAACGAGAAGGCCAGCAAAGTCTACGATGCGAAGCTCATTGCCAGCATTATCCGCGAGGAAGCTCACGACCGCTTCGAAAGCCGAGAGAGTGTTCCCGGACACGTGCAGCAAGGTGGTGTCCCTTCGCCCATGGATCGATGCCGTGCTGTCCGTTTGGCCATCAAGTGTATCGAGCACCTGGAAGACTTTGGCCGCAATGCGCATAACCGAGTAAAGAAGGATCCCAACAGCACAAGCGTGATTGGTATCCAGGGCTCTGAGGTTGTCTTCACACCGATTGCAGAGCTTGAGGAGAAGGACACAGACTGGCCCAACAGAAGACCCAAGGCTGCCCACTGGTTGGACATGCGCGAGGTGGTGGACATTCTGGGCGGAAGACCACCCTATCCCAAGCCGGAGAGGAGCTTAACAGGACTCGTTGCAAAGGATATGAAGCGTGGAATTTACTCGAGTGGGGACTAATGGGTGCTATGATGGATGAAATCTTTTTTCATTCTTTTCTTGGGTTAATGAAAAAAAAAACGAGTATGAAATTACATGGTTATTGATTATTGTCAATAGTGTAACAAAAGGAACTGTAACAAGAAGAAAAGATAGAAGAAGAAAAAAATCATTATTATCACGATAATTGTTTCAAGATGGCTGTGTCTCCAGCTGAGCTCCGCAACAGAGCCGCAGCATCTGCAAGGCCGCCAACGCAACGGGATCCCCATCGGCCATCACCGCTAGGGAAATATCTGAGCAAATGGGATATTGCCGAGAGCTTCTTTAGATGCCGCTTTGGATATGACCTGCAGTAGAGGGAGCTTGTACAGTAGATTGTCGATGTGCTCCGTTAAGGCATGAAGCGGCGCTGGAGCCCGAGGCGTTCCTTGCAGCACATGGGCAGTGCAGTGCTAGCTGGCATCTACAGAGAAGAGGACAGAGAGAGAGTTGAAGGCGGAGTTAGTTTGTGCATGTGGCTGCGCATGGCCCCGGTTCTGGTTCTTTGGACCTGCGTTGCGGGCGATGAGCAGTGATTAGTTTGCGGTTGTGGACTCCATAGCACGCATAACGGCCAAGAACTGCATCTGCTGTGATACAAGTTCATCCCTATCGCATCTAGGACCTGAACGTAGCGTTTAATCTATCGCAAGGCACTTGTATTTTCATCACTGTTAATATCAGCAATAGACATCTACGCAGGGCTTCCATGAATCATGCTCTTCATGTCGCCGAGGGCGACACCACCACACACCCACACCCCTCTCTTATTCTCGTGGCCAGCGCCGGTAGTAGCGAGTTTTTTTTGGGGGTCACGATGCCAGGGTTTTAGTGACGCATGTGACGGGGGTGTCGACTTCGTCTTAGCTCTACTTTAGGTCCAGGCCTGGCAAAGACCAGGGACTGCAAGAGAGAGGCTGTGACGCCATGACCTGGCAGTACTGCTGCTGCTACTCTTCATACTGCTACTGTACACTCTGACTCTGACTTTGGCTGAGAGATGAGAGGCGAGATGGATGGACGCCTCGTCAGGCTTCTTGCCTTGGTGTGGTTCGCGAGGCATGTCACCGGATAGTGCCACTGCGTATTACTCGTAAAAATATGGAGTAGACTTGTGAAAACGAGTAATATCTACTGAACCTACTCGTGTCTGTCTTGACATCTCGTTGAGAAGGCCATGGAACGGCAAGGAATACTATTGGCATCAAGAGGGGTGGAGGAGGTCCCGGCTCAAAGACGCCTAACCAGGGGCCGCTCCCTCGATTTCACTATGCCATCATCATGTTGTATCCCCTTCCCCTCGTTGGGCTGCTAGCGAGTAATACCAGTACCTGAAAGGCCAAAAAAAAAATCGAGGGAGCAGCACAGCGTAAATTCAAAAAGAACGCATCGGCAGCTAAAAAGATGCGCAATCTACTGTAGCCCGCTGCACTATTGCGTCAGGGATTCAAAGGAACTGTCTTTGGCGGCCCCCCTCCATGCTAGGCGCTAAGGTGGGAGCTTTGGCTGCACGTAGAGCACTGAGACAAGTTGGGCTGGAATCGAATGTGGGTGGGTGGATGGGGAAAGCTTCACAGCCCACTGCCGGGATGGAGCTAAGCCGGGGTGGTTGATGCAGACAGTAGAAACGCAAAGCAAAGCACAAAGAAAGAAGAAGAAGAAAAGAGATGTAGAATAGAGGGCAAGAGTGGAAACAGAGATGATGAATGTTGGTGCAAATGGCTGCGCCTTTCCCAGGCGAGGCCCGTTCGAGCGAGGCTTTCAGAGGGTTGAGAACGAGACGGAAAATGGCGTTTGCAAAAGCAGGCTGGAGGCGGGGACCAAGCATGGACCGAGCCGCTGCTACGGCGCCCAGAAGTAGGCGGGCTGGGCTGTGTTGCTGTTAGTCGGATACCAGAGTACCGACGAGAGAGCACTAACAGCCATTATTAGCGAGGCTGGGAACCGTCTCTGCTGCTTGATTCTGTTGCTGCGTTTTACGTATTGCATTAACACCGTGAACTCTGCTAATAATTGCACCTTGGTAGTATGTCTCACATGCAAGTGCCCAAGCCAGCCAGACGCCGTTCTTTGACACCTTCGTATGGAGCCTGTATGTAGTTTCGAGGCCATCATTCATCATTAAACGCACACCAACCTACCAACTGCTGTTGCTTCTATACATGTACCCCGTGAATGCCCTGTGCATGCTGCAGTCTCATGTACCCAGCACCTTGTCCTGACCGAGAGGCCATGATGAATGCAGCCGGTTCTTGTCCCCGCTTGGGCTCCAAGATGGACCGAACAAAGAGTCAGAGCACAAGAGTATGTTAGTAGTCTGGTGTTTCAGCATCCATCCAAGCGCCCCCTAAAAAAACAAGACAAGACGAGAAGAAGCGTCCAGAGGGAAAAATAAACAAAGCCAGGGAAACTTGGTCTTTGAGCTCTCCAACCCGCTCTCGGTATCGTCTGGTGGCGCATTGCATTTTTTCCCTGGGATGGCCCCTGGTTTCTTTTTTTGGGCTCTTATGCATCTGATTTGACAGAGACATCAGGTCAGGTTCTAGCACTAGCACCAGCAACTTCTGATCGCCTGAGCCCAGTTCCAGCGGGATGACGTTTGGCCAGCCCCCTGTCGCCAGCTGATACTGCCTTGCTGCCTCTAAAAAGTCATCACTGCCCCTCCGGCCGTTGGCGCCCGCCTGGAGCTGCCGCCAGTGACCAGGGGCTTAGAATCTCGTCGGAATCAGCGTCTGGGCTCTTTTTATTAGTCGTCTCCCCCGCCTCCTCCTTTGCTCTCTCTGCTGTCGCCTCTGCACACTGCAATTTGTCTAGCTGCGTCGCTGTAATCTGTGCTGCGCACTTTGTTTGACGCCCTCTTCCCGTTTCCGAATTCGACGTCTCTCGCTTGCCGCGTGCGCCTATATCCTCTTTGTTTTCTTGGTTTTTGGGGGGGCAGTAAAGAGAACGGTGAGTGAGTGTCCTTTGGCGCTCTGCCCGCGCCCTCGTCCTTTGAGCAACGTCACAAGGGAGGCCATTTCGTCTCAGCCGCATGACGTTCCCACCTGGACCCCGCTTCGACTCCTCCCGCTTATACTGATTGATAAAGCAAAGTCACCGCAGAAGACGCTTGTCCGGCTTTTTGTTACTCAGACACACTTTCACACAAAGAGGAGCGCTCAGCTTTCCTCTTGAGACTTAAGACTTGAGACTCGCGGCACACGAGACCGATCAGCCAAAGGAGTTTAATCAAAAAAGACACAAGGCACAAAAAGACATGGCCTACCGAGACCGGGACCAGGACTATCGTCGGTCCGCCGTCGAGTTTGACGACATCCGCGCTCGCACCGTTACCCGCAGCCCCGCGCCGCCCAGATCTCGCCGCGGGGAGTTTGAGGAGTTTGATGTGCGCATCCGCGAGCGAGATGGCGACCTGCCCGACTTCCTGAGGGGCGGTCGAAGGCCCGAGGCTGGCCCAATGGTCCTGCGCCCGCGCGAGGATCCCTACGAGCAGCGCCAGCCGCGCGAGCCCGCCTTCCGCGAGGAGCGTCTTGTGCGCCGCGCCCAGAGCGTCGCGCCGCCCGAGGAGGAGATTGATGTTCGCTTTAGATCCGTTGAGAAGATTCGCAGCCCCTCGGTTGCTCCCCGGCGCAGGTCTCCCTCGCCAGACAGGAACGTGCGATATGTTCAGCCGACCGACACCTCTGAGCACATTCGCATCATTGAGAGAGAGCGTGAGCGTGAGCGAATTCCCTCTCCGTCGCCCTCACCGCCACCAGCTCCTCCCGTGGTTCGCGGCCCCGTTATTGAGCGTGAGGTTATTACGCACTACACAGATATTGACCATGGTGAGTGGTTTTCTTTCTTTTCTCTCCAAGAAATTCGGATTTCATAAGTGTTGTCAATTAAAGTTCGATGCTAACCAATCTTTAGGCATGATTCAAGCCAGGCAGCCATCCCCGCCACCAGCGGCCCGCGCCAGGTCCCGCCCGAGAGAGCGCGAGGCGCGCGAGACTGACATTGACATTGACATTTCTCGGTCCAAGGGCCGCACCACTGGTGTCGAGGTTGACATTCACCGATCTGCCAGCCGCACTCGCTCCAAGAGCCGTGAGAGGCGCTCCAGCCGCTTTTATGATGACGACATTGTCGTCCGCCGCGACCTCCAGATTGATGAGACCAGAAACCGCCGGAGAGCTCACTCCGCTGCCGCGCGCCCTGTCGAGGATGACGAGGCTGAGTACATCACGTCCAAGGTCGATGGCCGTGGACGAATGGGCGAGGCCTGGGGAGGCGCTACCAAGGACTGGGCCATTGTGGATGTGCCGCCCGGAACTGAGCGGATTCGCATGGACGGTATTGGCGGCGCCGTCACCGATACTACTTGGTCCAAGTACAGCGGTGTGAGGAGGACCAAGTTCATCCCGGAGCGAGAGAGGGATATTAGAGATGATCTGTCCAACAGGGCGCCCTCGCCACCTCCTGCTCTCGGCCGCGAGCGTGTCAGCGTGTCCGTCCTCGACCGCGACCGTGAAATCGACATTGGAATCAATGACAGGAGACAGCCTAAGGATATGTGGACTGAGATCACTAAGGACTTGGTCATCCGAGAGGCTATCGAGGAGCTTGGCTATGAATATGAGGAGACTGACATGTTCTTCTACGTCATGGACTACCTGAAATATGTAAGTCTTGCAGATGCCTCACGATTAATCATCCAAAACGAGAAAAGTTGCTGACATAGATGTTCTCACAGGATGATGTTCTGAAATTGACTGAGCTATCTGACGATATTCGACGATCCAGGCGACAGCGCCAGCGCGACAGCATCCGATTTGAGCGAGATTACTATGATGAGACTGACCGAAGGTCCTATGACAGACGCCCAGCACCATCAGCCCCTCGGCGAGATGAGCGCGAGCGCATCAGGGAGACGGAGGTCATTTACGACCGTGCTCCCTCCGCTCGCTATCGCTAAATGACATGGTGTTCCGTTACTTAATTAAAACATCTCAGCTGAATCTACAAACACCTTGGGAGAGGATGAGAGAGATTAATCAAGTTTGCATGTCAGAGAGCGAGTTATCATGATGCATCATCTTTTGAGTGTTTTGGATTCGGGGCTCTATTACTTGTCAGAAAGGAAATGAAGCTTGCTCAAAAGAGAAGGAGAGTGTAAAGCGAGGAAGATATAAACAAGATCGGCTGAGCGGTCGAGCAACGACGACGGAAAGGCGGGCGAGAAGTTGGATGGGCCATCTTTTTTTCTCTGATTCCACTTTTTGATTTTCCTCATGTCTAACGATCGATGAATGCTTGATGACGACTTGGGAGTTTTACATTGACGATTTGTTTTATTTATTCTTATTTTTATTTTTTCTCTCTTACCTGTAATGAATAACGAAAAGGCAAATAAATAAAAAATACTCTATATAATATCTTGTATGTTGTTGATTTTGGCGTGGTCATGTGAGTCAGATCTCGGCTCCTCCTCACCTAGTAGGACCTGTGAAGCCGGTAATCTGGAGCAGCGACTACAGTTGGATAGTTGGGCAATACCGGCGAGTATTACTGCATCAGGAGCTAGATGGGTGTTGAATTAAGCAATAAACAAACTATCATGATCATCATTCGACATTCTGTTGGCTTTACAAAGCTATTCCCCCACGCTGCGTGATTCGGCTTCCAGCACCTCATCCGGAGAAATCAGTGCAGCAAAGCCTTCTTCGTCCCTGTTTTCCCGCACGGGCTACTGTGGGGAGGCCCGGGTTGCCGTAGCTCACGCAGAAACCCCACTTTGTGGATTTTCAAACCCGACATTGGGAGCGATGACGCTTGCGAGAAACAGACGGTTTGAAGACGGGCAGCCAACGATATCGGAGGGGATGGTAATAGACGCTGGATGTGTGTCTCACCTCGCCTCGCCCCCCTTGTATCGGAGTTCATTGGTGAGAGCTCCAATGGATAGAATCGGGAGAGGATGGAATAAAGAACCTGTCAAATAATTCTACTGCCGCAAAATCCACGGAGATGATTGTTGGCTACGCCCTTTTGGCCGTTGGCGTGATGGTGGCGGATCATAAACTGGAATAAGCAAAATGGCTTGCAGCGCATGCATGCAGCCACTGTGCGTTTAATTGGGCATTGCATTGCTCGCAGTACGTACTTCTCCAGAGTCGCAATTCCACAGGCGCGCCCATCGCGGGACAAGATGCTGCAGAAGCGGAGATGAGTCAGAAGGAGATGCCAAGCTGTGTAGTTTTGATTATTTATTACTGTACTCTTGTCTTTTTACATCTGAATTGAAAGAATCAATCCCTTCTTCACTTGTAAAAGGCACAATTCAGATCCTTCCCGGGGCTGCCAAGTAATAAACCACTAACTCGGTCGCCGGCGTCGGGCTTAGAAACTTTGGACCCCTCCATCAATCACTTTCTTGCGGAAGCCCCGAAAGACTTGCGCTCAACCCCAGAATATTTGCCCCGCGATACTTTATTTTTTTGCCCTTCCTCTTTTTCTGTATTCTTCTCTTCTATACACAGGAGACCAATTATCCGAAAAAGCAGCCAAGATGCCCATGTGAGTCTGTCCATTTGCGCGCCAATTCTTGCTCCCCGCAATCAGGCTAACGATGACGTCCGTCGCAGGCTCAAGGAACCGTGGAAGAAATACAAGGCGTTCCCGCCGCTGAACCTGCCTGATCGCCAATGGCCTTCAAAAACCCTCGACAAGGCGCCTCGGTGGCTGTCCACTGATCTGCGCGATGGCAACCAGAGTCTGGTCGACCCAATGGCAAGTCTACACAATCCGCGTTGAGAGTCAAGAAGAAGAAAAAAACGGATGAAAGCTCCGATCTCGCTACGTTCCTGGTCTAACTAAAGAACTGTGTCGTACAGAGCGGCGATGAGAAGTGGCGCTACTTCAAGATGCTGGCCGACATTGGCTACAAGGAGATTGAGGTTTCCTTCCCTTCCGCCTCGCAGACCGATTTCGATTTCACACGCCGCCTGGTCGAGACGCCCGGCACTGTTCCCGACGATGTCTGGCTGCAAGTCCTGTCACCCTGTCGCGAGGACCTGATCAGGCGCACCGTCGAGTCCATGAAGGGCGCCAAAAAGGCCATTATTCACATCTACCTCGCCACCAGCGAGTGCTTCCGAAAAGTGGTGTTCAACTTCTCCCAGGAAGAGACCCTGGAGCTGGCCACGCGATGTGCGAAGCTGGTTCGATCTCTGACCAAGGACGACCCTTCTACGGCCGGCACCGAATGGGCCTTTGAGTTCAGTCCCGAGACTTTCTCTGATACCGAGCCCAACTTTGTCCTTCAAGTCTGCGAGGCTGTCAAGGCTGCCTGGGAGCCTTCGGTGGAAAACCCCATCATCTTCAACCTGCCCGCCACGGTTGAACTGGCAACTCCCAATGTATATGCCGACCAGATCGAATACTTTTGCCGAAACATTTCGGAGCGTGAGAAGATTTGCGTTTCGCTCCATCCTCACAATGATAGAGGTACCGCCGTGGGCGCCGCAGAATTAGCACAAATGGCTGGCGCAGACAGAGTCGAGGGCTGCCTGTTTGGCAATGGCGAGCGGACGGGCAACGTCGACCTGGTCACTCTGGGCCTCAATCTCTACACACAGGGCATCCACCCAAACATTGACTTTTCAGATCTCGGCAGCATCATCGATATGGTCGAGACTTGCAACAAGATTCCTGTACACCAGCGAGCTCCGTACGGTGGCTCCCTGGTCGTGTGTGCGTTCAGTGGCTCTCACCAGGACGCCATCAAGAAGGGCTTCGAACTTCGGGAGCGCGAGAACAAGGCCTTCGACGACGAGTGGCAGATGCCCTACCTGCCGCTGGATCCTGCGGACATTGGCCGTACATACGAGGCCGTCATCCGTGTCAACTCACAGAGCGGCAAGGGAGGCGCTGCGTGGATCATCCTGCGTGGCCTGTCGCTGGATCTGCCGCGCGGTCTGCAAGTCGCCTTTTCCAAGGTCGTCCAGAAGAGAGCCGACGAGCTTGGCCGAGAGCTGCTGCCCTCTGAAATCACAGAGCTCTTCGAGCAGACCTACTTCCTCAGCAACAACCCGCGCTTCAGCATCGTCGACTACAACATCTCCACCGACAGGTCCAGATCGCCCGCGCCCGCGGCGCCTGGCAAGACGCCCGTCACAAAGGATTTCATGCGTGTGTTTAGCGGTGTGATTTCCGTCGACGGAAGGGAATTCAAGCTCGAGGGTCGCGGTAACGGTCCTATTTCCAGTCTGGCCAACGCGCTAAGAGGCGTTGGTGTCAACTTGGATGTCCAGGACTACAAGGAGCACGCTATCGGTAGGGGTCGGGATGTCAAGGCTGCTACGTACATAGAGTGTACGGCGGCTGGAAGCAACATGAAGGTGTGGGGAGTGGGTATCCATGAAGATGTGGTACAGAGTTCTCTGATTGCTCTTTTGAGCGCGGCTAGCAACGTGAGTTTTTACATTCTCCTTCTCTTTTATTTTGTTGAGACTTTGTGCTGATATATGTGGATTATAGTTTGCTTCTAGTCGACCGGGAAGCCCGTTTGTTGCCAAGCCTGTGAGCGTGGATGGCCATGTTGCTGAGCTGAATCTAAATGGCAGTTCAAGCAAGGTGAATGGATCTACCTAAGTAGATAGCTTATGGGATGCTTCGGCTATGCTTGGACGAGATAGGAAAACAAAAAGTTGTATGGATGATGGATGGAAGAATGAAAAGAATGGTAGCAAAATCTATACCTTGAGGAAGACGGAAGTGTTGGGTTGCATGTGAAAAAGGAGAGCCCATATAGGGCAGGAAAACTGCATCAGGAAAATTGCATCAGAGGATGTTGTTGTGTAAAGTAGAAGTGTATACTACTTGTTACGCGGAAAGAAGATGTTTGCTTTATATTGCCTAAAGGGCAGAAAGATCTTGCATCGGAGGATGTTATTGAGTAGATGTGAAGTGTAAACAACTTGTTTCAAGGAAAGATGAAACCCGCTTTCTTCATTGGAAATAAATCGTTGGAGCATCAATACGAACAACGCATTTACATGAGCAAGTACATCACAAATAATGCAATATCGCAACGCATACACCATAGGTAGGTAGGTTAAGACTTGATAGATCACCCTTTAAATGTCAATACTGTAAACTTTCCCTTTTTAATTGGCCTTTTCTTTCATTGCTTGTTCTTATTGACATGCATGAGTTTGACACCCCGTTAGCATGTGCGTATCTGCAAATATCTATGACTCTATGAGGCAAAAAAGCTGTCATATGGAGGAGTCGTTGCCGTGGAAGCGGTGGAGTCAGTATTTTGATTCTACGGAGTATATACTGAGAATGCCGGGCGGGGAATAATAGAAGCCTTTGGAAGGGTGGCTGTAAACGGGTACTGTGCGAAATCGCAAACGCCTGCGCAGCCCATTCGTTCTTTTGTTCGTGGTGCCTGTTCGCCAAGAGGGCTCTAGTCTAGTATTTGATAACATCTCGTGCTTGTATGTGAGGGGGAAGGATGGAAGAGACCCTTGACACAGACATCCGGCGTGTGACGATGCTGGGGGTGCAGAAAAGCGCTGCGCAATGATAAGCATAATTCACGGTCTGCATGAAGACGCTTGAGCGAGAGAGGCCTGGCTTTTCTCGACCCCGCTTGGCTGGGCGAGCTTTTTTCCGACTCTTGCACTTGCATACTGTAGAAGTTGGGTCCATAGCAAGAGTGAGGCTCCAAAGCCTCCAATGCCCGTTATATCAGGTAGAGTAGGCAGGCACATGCTAATAGCGGAGTGCATCCATGTTTTCTTCTCAAGAGGGGTGCTCGATTTGCAAGGTACCAGGTCTCACATGACAGCACTGGAAGCAGAGGCTGTAACACTAGCAGCCTTCATGTCCGGGCCAGATGGGCGGCAGCGAGGGATGACGCATATTTGCCACTCCCTGCTGATCCCCTGGAGCCCTACCGGGTCAACCAGGGCCCTGCATCAACAGCACAAGAGCCGCTGAGGTCTTATCGGCGACTGTTTCTGTCTCTAGGTATATAGTAGAGATAACAGAGTATGCAAGCACGGATATCGCATAAGAGCCTGTCTTGTCCAGCCCATCCAGAAAGCAGGCGAGAGCAAAATTGCAGCTGCTGCAAGTTGCATGTGCTCGCAGGCGTCCGGGCAGGGAACTTGGCGGGAACCCTTGGATCGCGCGCCCCGCTATCCCAGAAAGCTTTTCGCGCCGCCTCAGCTGCGTTAAACGAAGTTTCGCCGGCTTCGCCCTTGCAGGTCTACCCCTCGCAAGAAGTAACAGGTTGCGGCCTAAAAGCCAGCCACGGCTGTCGCTGATTCGACGGGCTGCGCTGGGTGGGCACCCGGGAAAAAACATCCTCCCGCGGCCTTGCCCGGCTGCTGCTGCTGCTTTGCTCTACTGCGCACAGGGCTGCTGTCATTTCTTGTTCCCGCGCTGTGCTGCTCGCATTCCCAACGCCTGAGACTGAGACCCTCCCCGGAAGCACCGCTAAACAGGCCGCCGCCACCTCCAGTAGTGCTCGCTGCCTACTAGCCCGCCCAGCTCAGCTGTCGGCTCTCACTGCTCCAGCGGCTCTCCAGCGTGCGTTGTTTGTTCCGATCTAGATTTCCAGGCATAAACTCTATTCGCTATCGCATTCTCAGCACAGCTTCGTTTCACTTCCTCTTTTTCTCACTTTCCTCTTCCCAAAACAACAAACAAGCGCTGCAGCCCGTCACTTGTACCTGACCTTGCCTTGACCTGCAGCCATCCATTCCTCGACTCGCCTCTTCTTTTGGCCGCGCTGCGCTTTGTACTTCTTCTTGTTTCTCACAGCCCGGCACGCTCTTTAGCACGTCCCTCGTCGCTCCCTGGCCCTTCTAAAGTAGCGCCCAGACAGGCATCCGGCAGCTGCTGCGAGAAAGTGGCGGTAGCACCTTTAGCCCCGTCATCCCACAGAAACTGCCCCCCTGCACCTTTTGGAGCGCCAGACCCTCAGTGCGATCCCTCGACCCTATTCGCCCTCTTCACTCTCGACGTCTGCTTCTACCGTAATAGAGCCCAGGCAGCTGTTGGGATCCTCACGCTTCGGCCTTGATTTGGGACCACGATAAAGAAGAAAAAACTATATATCAACGAGAACAATAGACCGCCCTTTGCCTTTTTTTCTGCCTTGTCGAACCAAACCGACTACGTGCATCCCACAAGGCTACCTCTTTTTTTTTTTTTTTTGTTTCTTTTACTTTCTCTCTTTAACCTCGCCGACTCCGCCTTGGGAACCTCCCCCGCGCCTACGCCCTTATTTTTTTTCCTTCCCCCCTTGGTGCAAACACGTGTAGCTGCACCCAACATCGACACGGCGTTTCCCACCAGCATCAGCAGCGCCCTTTTGGTCGACGCATGAGAGGACGCTTTACAGACCGCAATCATGTCGGGCTCAGAGATTAATACGGTGCTCGCGAACTCGCTGTCTGCAGGTGAGTAGTGGGAACCCAGAAAGAAAAATCTCTACCGCATGATGCCCTCGCTGCGCACCCCTCTTGAGGGGCACTCTGCTCGGCTAGAGGTCATCTTTTCTTTGCTGATGGAGAGCCTCACTCGAGTGGGATTTACAAAAATACTTCCGAAATCAAGTACCGAGTACCGTTAGCTGACGCAAAGAAAAAAAAAATAGATGCGAACCTGCGAATCGCCGCCGAACAGCAACTCACTCAGGCAGCGGAGAGTAACTTCGTACGTTATCCCTTCTCCCCTTGAGGCTACGATGGAATCGATCGCAGACAACTAACATTTCTTCTCTATTTTTCCCGTCGAATAGCCGCTGTATCTCGCTACACTCGTTCAAGAACTCGCGAATGACCAAGCACAGGGCTCCATCCGAGCCGCGGCTGGTATTGCCCTCAAGAACGCCTTCACAGCTAGGGATTTCGCTCGGCAACAGGAGCTGCAGTCAAAATGGCTGCAGCAGACAGACGAAGAGACCAAGAACCGCGTAAAGCAGCTGACACTGCAGACCCTGTCCTCGAGCAACACTCAGGCTGGCAATGCCGCCGCTCAGGTTATCTCTTCAATTGCTGCCATTGAGCTGCCCCGCGGCCAGTGGACCGATCTACTGTCCTTCCTCGTGAAGAACGTCAGCGAGGGCGCCGATCACCAGAAGCAGTCTTCTCTCACCACCATTGGCTACATCTGCGAAAGCCAGGACCCAGAGCTGCGACTGGCTCTTGTTGCCCACTCAAACGCCATCCTAACTGCCGTCGTCCAAGGCGCCCGAAAGGAGGAGACCAACGGCGAAGTTCGACTCGCCGCCATCACCGCCCTCGGCGATTCCCTCGAGTTTGTTGCCAATAACTTCAAGCATGAGGGCGAGCGAAATTACATCATGCAGGTCGTTTGCGAGGCCACCCAGGCCGACGATTCGAGAATCCAACAGGGAGCTTTCGGCTGCCTCAACCGCATCATGGGTCTTTACTACGAGAATATGCGCTTTTACATGGAGAAGGCGCTCTTTGGACTGACCATTCTCGGGATGAAATCCGAGGATGAGGACGTTGCCAAGCTGGCTGTCGAGTTCTGGAGCACCGTCTGCGAGGAGGAAGTTTCCATTGAGGACGACAACTCGCAAGTCGAAACCGCCGACCAGATGCGCCCCTTCTACAACTTTGCACGGGTCGCGGCTAACGAGGTCGTTCCCGTGCTTTTGACGCTTTTGACCAAGCAGGACGAGGACGCTACGGACGACGAGTACAACTTGTCCCGGGCCGCCTACCAGTGTCTGCAACTCTACTCTCAAGCTGTCAACTCTACCATCATCGGACCGGTTTTGGCCTTTGTTGAGGCAAACCTCAGATCTGATGACTGGCACAACCGAGACGCTGCCGTCTCTGCTTTTGGCGCCATCATGGAGGGTCCCGATGAGAAGGTCTTGGAGCCCATCGTCAAGCAGGCTCTTCCTGTTCTGATCACCATGATGGACGATCAGTCCCTTCAAGTCAAGGACTCCACCGCCTATGCTCTTGGCCGTGTCACTGAGGCATGCTCGGAGGCTATTGATGCCCAGCAGCATCTTCCCACCCTCATTGCCTCTCTCTTCAAGGGTCTCATCAGCAACGCCAAGATGGCGCCATCATGCTGCTGGGCTCTGATGAACCTTGCTGAGCGCTTTGCCGGCGACTTTGGCGCCGCCTCTAACCCAATCACCCCTCATTTCAACCAGGCTGTCAGCTCACTCCTCGATGTCACTGCCCGCCAAGATACCGATACGTCTGTCCGAACCGCTGCCTACGAGGTCTTGAACGTCTTCGTTCAAAATGCCGCCTCTGAGAGCTTGTCAGCTATTGCATCACTATCCGATGTCATCATCAAGCGCCTGGAGGAGACCATCCCTCTGCAGTCCCAGGTTGTCAGCGTTGAGGACAAGCTAACTTTGGAAGAGATGCAAAATAGCTTATGCACTGTTCTCCAGGCCATCATCTCTCGCCTCGACAAGGAAATTACTCCTCAGGGCGACCGCATCATGCAAGTCCTCCTTCAGATCCTCAGCACCATTGGAGGAAAGTCAAGCGTCCCAGAGGCCATCTTCGCTACCATCAGTGCCCTCTCAACCACAATGGAAGAGGACTTCATCAAGTACATGGAGGCTTTCGTTCCATTCTTGTACAATGCACTTGGAAACCAAGACGAACCCAGTCTTTGCTCGATGGCTATTGGCCTCGTTAGCGACATTACGCGATCCATGGGCGAGCGCAGCCAGCCTTACTGCGATAACTTTATGAACTACCTTCTCAACAACCTAAGAGTGAGTTTTTTGCATCCTACCTTTTCATATAAAGCTGTCCTAATGCTGACTTGACACGACAGAGCACCACGCTTGCCAACCAGTTCAAGCCTGCTATTCTGCAGTGCTTTGGAGATATTGCCGGCGCTATCGGAGGCCACTTCGAGACCTATCTCTCTGTTGTCGCTCAAGTCTTGGAGCAAGCATCCACAGTCACCGCCACACCCGAGGGCCCTGACGAGATGTTTTACTACGTCATTTCATTGCGAGAAGGTATCATGGATGCATGGGGTGGCATTATCGGTGCCATGAAGTCTAGCGGAAAGAGTAAGTTTGCCTTGAAATCTTCGTTCTCTTTGCGTATAGCATTCACTTACAATTCTCTGCAGCCCAAGTTCTCCAGCAATACGTCCCCTCCATCTTCCAGCTTCTCAACCTTGTCGGTAGTGATGCCAACCGCAGCGAGTCGCTTATGAGGGCAGCTATGGGTGTCATCGGGTAAGGACTCATTCCGATATCCGATTAACAAAATGCGACATACTAACATCCCTCTCTAGTGACCTGGCTGACGCGTATCCCAACGGAGAGCTCATTGATGCCTTCCGACAGGGCTGGTTGACCACCATGATCAAGGAGACCAAAACCAACCGCGATTTCCAGCCCCGCACAATAGAGACTGCTCGATGGGCTCGCGAACAGGTCAAGCGCCAGCTTGGCGGCTCACAAGGCGTCATTGCTCAGTCTTGAGCGGGCCCTCTGCCTTGGGCGATGAGCCTCTCATAACGACAAAGCCACAGCTGTTCTGTGCGTCGCAGTAGCCGACGACTCAGATCAAGAGCAACTCGTTGCGGCCTCCTACCACACTCACACCTCCACCCATCATTCCACATTTCCCCAGTTCAGCACAGCACATCAGATCAGCAACACGATCCCCATGACCACTTCATATGTATATAGACCCTATGACACTACAGTAATCCAATACCCACTTTCACGAAAATTTCTCTACACACATTACACAATACTCCTCTTTTTGTTGAGTGGTTAAAGTTTCCATATCTACAATTTTCCACATGTTCCCCTTTCAACCCATTTTTAATCGTTGTTTTTTTCACCCCTAGTCGTAACGATGGAATAGAGAAGTCATGTATGCCCCGCGTGCATCGAAAAGAGCAGCGGTGGCTAACCCAAAAGTCATGTAGAAAGGGAAAGGGAGTACAAAGGAGGCCGGCTATTCATCGTTTTGTTTTTCTGAGATTTCTTTTACTTCCAGCAACAATGACAGAAGTTATAGCCCTCTTCGGTTCAGTTTCTGTATTGGTGTTAAAGTCGTCGCATTTCATCTATCGGATGCCCGTTCGAGTGGACGAGGCTTTGCATTTAGGATTGGCTCTTGTGATTGGTTTTTCTCGCAGGAGCGGCAACCGGCACGGTAGTGGTTGATGGAATACCAGGACAATAAGGAGCGTGTTGGGGGCATTGTTTGTTTTGTAGCTCAATTCTCACCCTCGACTGGTGAGACGCAGCGAAGACGGAGAACGGAAAGGAATTCAAACCCATATCAGACAGGTTCAGGGGAATGACTTTAGAACTAGAGAATCAAGTGATCTCGTTCCATGTACGGTGGTCTTGAGCTATTCAGCCATCGTTAGATAGTGGCATCAGAAACTGCAAATGGAATTTTTTGTTGACCCCCCCCCCTAATTCTTCCTGAATGACGATTATAACTTGGTGTCTGAATAGTCTAATCTCTATATGTAACAATGTCCTTACTTTATGCCACAAAGGCAGCCAGGCAGCACAAAAAAAAATTGCGGTCTGTGTGGCTTGAACACACGACCTTCAGATAATTTGATGATTGAAGTTGGAACTTCAGTCTGACGCTCTCCCAGCTGAGCTAAGACCGCTGAATGGCTGGATAACCGATCAATGGGCAGTCATAGAGGTAGACAGTGGGTGGGAGAGAGCAGTTAATGTTAATCTGGGGATAGTTGGATGATTCATCTCCAGTTTGATACTGGATCAGCCGCATAGATGAATGATTACCGAATGCAGCTATTCAGTCATACAGGTATTGACTACATATATTCATCACTAGACTAAAAAGCAGACAGTATCATATCCTTATGGCCGGGCCTCTCTCAATCTCCAAGCCAATTTCTGCGTCATCCGTAACAATGCAATAAACCAATTCACCCCTAATAGTCTTATTAGAAGACATTACATCTCGTCTTTAAGGTTGTGTATGATGTTGGCGTCGTATTTCTGGTGATTGATGCACTGATACTCTTTCTTTCCTCTACATGTCTTCAAACGAAAAGATAGACTGTAAGCACAAGATGATCAGAGTTGCCGCTTATTGAAAATGTTGTAATAGAATCATTGCTCGCTGATTTCGAGCCTGCCAGCTGGCAAACAAGTTCCGCCTGGCAGACAAAGCACGGCAAAGGAACAACTCTTCGGTGCGTGGTTACGGAGGAATGAAATTAATCCTTCTCCGGGATCGCAGCTTGAATATTCGCGTTCAAACCTGACGCGTGACGCATCGCCTGTGTCTCTTTTTCTTTGAACACCTTCACGCTCTTTACCTTATTTGTTTCAACAGCCCCATCATACATCATTCTAGCAAATCGGGTCAGCGAAGACCAAGGGGCTCAAATACAGATTTCCGATCCCATATACTAGAATCTGCTTGATGTATTTCATTACTTTCATTTAGTGAACTTTTGACCATTCGTTTTCGTGCAGCAGGAGTTCTCTCAATTCGTTTACTTTGTTCCCCTTTTCGTATCGCAATCTTGCGAGCCCCTATTTACCATGTTTTATTCTCACGAGAGTAAGTCATCCTAAGCATGTCTCTACTCTCCAATTTCAGAGATGTTGATATCTACTCATAGTCCTCAACAGCACCCAGTATGGGGTTGCTACTATTTGGTAGGGACATCTGTGTTCAGCTCCTTCACGAGGGGGTCGTTTCCACTAATTGCCATCTTCCCTGTCTAGGCTGGTGGCCACAGTTGGCAAAGGAACCCAGAAGAGACTGACCAAGAAGGCGATCCAAGAAGTCAATGTTCCAAAGGCGTGCGAGAAGATATTGGACCCCGGAGCTCCTCTTGCTCTCCGTCTCCAAGGAAATCTACTCTATGGCGTTTCGCGTGTTTTCGAGCAGCAGTGCGCCTATGTCCTCACGGATGCCGAAAAGACCCAGTCTGACATGGTGACTTTTTTTCGCATCATTTCAACCAGTGAAACTGATCCGCGAGCCGGAAAGACCAAGTATGTTCACAGAATATTGTACAACGAAACGGTGATATGCATCTAATATTTTGCTACAGGCGTCAGAATATCGTCTTGCAAGATGATCCTGCTTTTGATCCTTTTACCTCACTTCCAAACCTGAATGTGCTGCAGTGGGACAAGGATCTTGTGTTATTTCCAAGCCAGGGCGGATCAAGCAAGTTCTCCCAGATGACACCGCTCGCGGCAGCTGGTAGTCAAGGTAGCTCTTCGCCACGCCACCGCTCTGCACTGATCAATCTTGAGCTCCCACCTTCTTCACAGTCTGCTGCAAGTTGCCGTCTTCCCTCAGATTTCGGCAGACTCAGCCCTTTGTTCGGCAAATCAATTCACCATTCCGACAGCATGGCTGAGTTCCAGCCGTTTGGAGACGATGAATTTCCATCCATCTCGGGAATCGGCTTCGAATTTGACGCAGAGGGTAATCTCGTTAGCATTCTCGACCAGGATCTTGAGCCTGAGCCCGAACTGCCTCCTCTTCCGGCTCCGACAAAGACTACAAGCAGTCTTGGGTTGCAGGGAGTGATGAAAGACGATGACCAGGTTCTCATTTTGGGCGAAGAAGAAAATCTACTTGATTTGGGGGACCAAGCATTGCAGGGTATGGATGGTCGTCCGGCAAATACTTCGATTCAGCTGCCTGCAGAGATCCAGACGCATAGAAGTGAGCGAGCAGAAGCAGACACTAATCAAGCATCTGCTAGGATGGCTAGATCGAGACGGGTCAACCCAGATGCTATGATGGATGAGAGAATCACAATTTCTAGCCGAGAACTCAGAGATTGGACTGAAAACTACTTTGCAAACGCTGAAACTCTCCGTCAGCAACAGCGAAAGACCACCACCACTCTTGGCCAAGCGAGAAAGAATGCTGTGACACTCCTCTACGACTACGGTGTGGCCAGTGTCGGGGCATATCATCGAGCAGAAGGTCTATTCCATCCCTTGGCAGCTAATTTTGCCGGAATCGCGTTGAAAGCACGCCTCCAAGGCAAAGAGCCAGATGAGATCGAGCAGCTTGAGCCTGCAAAGAGAGGCCGCCGACGCAAATCAGATGAAGCTTTCGAAGGCGAACTTGATGATGACGAGCGAAACACAAAGCAGCGAGTTGTTGAGGAAGTTGAATTCGGTCGAGGCGAAAATCAGGATGAAGCACACATCATGTTTGATGACAACTCTGTTCCCGAGATTGGAATGGAGGCCGAGCCGCCAATGGAAGATCGTCACTCTTCCTCAATGATGCCATGGAGCCGACCTGGCTCTGCAGTTCCAGGTTCTTCCGTCCGAGGCAGCGCCCAGAAGCCAAAGACCGCCCCCAGTCCTCTCCTCGGACGTGGAAGTGCCCTGAGCTCCATCGACCGCCATAGCGATCCCGCCGAGCCGTTCTTTGGAGTGGACGACTTTGGTTCTCATGACTCATCTTTTCAACTTGGTGGGCCGGTTGGCCCTCTTGACTACGATCGAGACAATGCCACTCAATTTTCGACTCAAGGCCTCGACGTCACCAGCCAGGATTTCTTGGGATACGTAGCCGAGCAGGCCGCAAAGACAGGCGTGACCTACGGCCGGGACAAGAAGCATCGTCAGTGGATCGAGTTCAAAGAGCTGGCCGAACCATTTACTCACCCTAGAGCCGTTGCCGCTCAAGCGTTTCTACATCTGCTGTCTCTGGCATCGAAGAACGTCATATCGGTCCATCAGGAAGGTGCGATGGCCATGCAGCCATTTGGAGCCATTCACATTGGAATAAACGCCTCTGTCAATGAAATGGTTGAGACGCAGCCGGAGTCTGAGGATGAGCTTGCTTGATTTTTGGAGCACATGTCATGGGGGGTTTCATATTTGAACGCATCATATTCTGGCTTGCATGGCGTATCCATGATTTTTCTTTTTAAGGTTTTACTGGGGCCTTTCTTTCCTTTTTCTTTTTTTCTTTCTTCTTTCATCTGGAACGGGGCGTTTGGAAATACGGATATCGACTTTTTCACGTTGGACCATCTGGAAGCAAATGAATCGAGGATGACTGCACTCAGCCAATCTTTCGAGAGTTTTTATTTCTCTAGCACGAGGAATTTCGGAGCATTTGGGACCAATATGGGGGTGCGCATGTCTTATTGCAGATTGATCTACTATATACATTGGTAATGGTAATCGGCATGGGGTACCAGAGGAGAGTTTATTGAGAAGGCACTTTGAGAGATGGCAGTTTCGATCACGATCACGTAACACAAATGACAGTACAGTTCATGGACAAAAGACAATTTATTAACTCGAGTTATTCTATTAATCATCAAACTCATCTTCAGCATCTGCTCCCTCCCGATCTGTAAACACCAGATACTCTGCACGCTCCTCATCAGTAGCATTTAGGTTAACCAATTCCCAAGCGCTCTTGACAGGATCCAATACAGAGTCATTGAACGCAAGGTCCAAGGGCAGCAGCGAGAATTCAGCTGTTTGCCCGTCGATATTCACAGAGGGGGTATCAACGCCAGTTTGCTCATAGTACAGCTGGTATAGTATCTTAGGAGGCTCTGGGCTATTCTGCGACAGAGAGGCTAGGAGAGATGAGAGAGCTTTCTCAAGATGTGCTTGGGCACTTGGGCTTGTGAGAGTGCTCAGATATAATACACCTGATGCGATAGAATGTTAGCAAACTATTGCACTTTTTTCCAGGTCCAAAGTGTAAAATATAAAATGACAAATATGAAAGTGTTGATCAGGTTGTCAGAGGAAATTATCGTCAATGTAATTCCGCAGTTATAAAGTATTCGTATTTCGGTTTTTTCATCATAACACGAAGGGCTGTGAAAGAGAGGGAGGCTTAAAAGTAAGAGAGAGAGAAAGCTTACATTGTCCAGTAGGGCATTCGCCCGCTTCACTCGAATGAGCGAGAGCGTAGATGGGATACTCGGAAGAGACTCCATCTTCGCCAAGTGGCCTACCCGCAGGGATTGCAACCACAGAAACGGCGGGCACCGGAGCGCCTTCAGTCACCGTTTCAAAAATTGACGTCAAGCCTGAGTCGACAATCGCTGTCAGTCTGCTCAGACGGCGGCTTTCACCTGCCGGCTTGCCCAGGCCCTTGACTATGGCCTTTGACTTGACAACCACGTCGTTGGATAGGACGACATTGAACTCCTCGGGCGTTTCGGCCGCGGCGGGAGTTTTCTGAACGTCCTTGATACCAACACCGAGCATATAGACGGCACCGCCAACAGCACCAGCTCGGCAGCCCACTTGAGCCACTTCAGAAAGGCCTCCCCATTTGGGGTAAACAGCCGCAAAACCAGGGCCAAAGACTCCCATGGATGTGAGATGGCGGTGGATAGCAGCGAGGCCAGCTTCTGTTGAGATCTTGCCATCAAGACTCAGCGTCAGGGTGATGATGTAGGCCTGTAGATCGGCATCGAGCTTGAACTCGTTCGCAAGAAAACTCGCCAGCGAGTCGCCCGCACGAGGTCTCCATACATCAGTCTGCGGCTCAGCGTCGTACTCGAGCACAAACTTGAGGAACTTCATAAGCCCGCGCTTCGCCTTGGCGGAGATTGTCGTATTGGTAAACACATCTTCGCGGGTCGACGGAATGCGACTCAGGCTAGGGGCAGACGACGACTTTGGGGCCTTGGGCTGGAGTATGTAAAAAGACCCCACGGCAAGAAACTCGAGTTGCCGGAACGCTTTCGACGACACCAGCTTCGAGAGAAGCTCTGAGCGCGTGTGGATCAGCTGCGGTGCCAGCGCGAGGCTGTACGCCCGAGACGACAGGCTTTTGGCACCACCGGGTCGAGTCGCCTGCGCCGCTGCAAAGACGCCATCGCCTTCAGCACTCTGGTGGTTGGCGGCCCATTCGTCCACCTCCTGCAGGCTCAGAACGGCCTCAGCCTCGCCGTAGTACTCGTTGGGGTCAACGTGGAGGATGTTCTTTCCAGATCGCGACAGCGCACTTTTCACGAGAGAGAGAGAAGGCTGGTCAGTCAGTCTTTTGAAGGTGGCCAGCAGCCAAGCCGATGGAATCCGAAGCTTACAGGGCGAAGAGGGACTGCTGGAGCCCCGTGCCGCTGATCACTACATCCCACTGTGTGTCTGAGAGGGATTCCATGGTTCGGTTCACAATGGACGGAGGGAAGGGGAAAGAAGACGAGAGAGCGAGAAAAGAAGAAAAAGTAAGAAAAATTGTTTAAAAAGCGTTTAGCTAGAGGGTTCAAGCTCAAGCGAAGTGGAGATGTATCTTGCTAGTGAGGTTTGGCACATGAAGCTGTAGCAGCAATAAGCAGCAATCTGTATTAGCTAAGTCAGGTGGCCCGTGCTTTTTCGTAGCCTAACTTCTAACCAGCTCCAATTTCTGAGCTTTTTTTTCTCTTTTTTCTTCTTCTTCATAGTTTCACCGCCCGTCGAATTTTTACCGTCATGTCTTTGATACTTTACGTATGTGGCATCGCGATCGCATTTGACTTAAGCGGTAGAGAGAGTCGTCGGCCGGTATCTACTGCCCTAGAATAAAGTCTGAAAGGGTGGTTCGAATGGTTGACACATGCTCACTTGAAAATTTGTGATTTTTGATGTAATGTGACTTGTTTTTGGGCCTGTATCTGATCGCTTGTGCGGAGCTAGCACTCATTGCGATTAACATGATCTGGCTAAATAAAACTCCGAGAGCAAAATGGCGCTCAGTATTCGGACAAAGATGGTATTATGCTATTCTGGATGTTTAATGGCTGCCAGTTATTGCTGACGCAAAGTCCTCCCACCGCGTGCTTGCCCAATCGAGGAATTCCTTCGATGTCAGTAGCTTCGCTGTCATGACCGTGCCTCCATGCTTCGAGATGGACAGAATCCTTCTTGAGCCTCCAGTGCAGTCAATGACAATTGTGACTGTCTCGTCGCATAATGACTCCTCCAAGGTATCTGGATCGGCTAGCAGCCAGAATTTTCCATCCGCAGGCTGGTCTTTCGTCTCTTTGCCGGTGAAAATGACTGCCGTACATGAAATAGGCATGCTTTCCACAGTAAGGGGCTTAGGATCTTTCCTGGAGCAGAGAATCATCTCCCTGTCTGGGTCGTAACGAGCCTGAGGCAGTTTTGTATCGCGTAAAGCAGCCACCGTTGCTGCCCATGCCGCATCAAACGGGTTGCCGTCGAAAGAGATGAAGAAGAGATCAATGTATAATACCCAGTATGCCACTACATATTTTTCTCCTTCCTTTGGCTCACTCTCTTCAGCTCCTTCTTCCTCATCTGCGAATGAGGTTTCGGCCGGTCGGCTGTGCCATATCCGCAAGTCCTCTGCTCGTAGGAGCTTGGAGCTATGTAGAAGAGAGTAAATTTTGGTGCTCAATGTTTGGGCGAGCGTCGTGGGCGGACCGCCAGGCAAGAATTGTGGTGCAGATCCGGTGGCAAGTTCAATGTTCGGGACCAATAAGTCGTAATCGGATAACTCCGTCTCTGTATTGGATGCGCGGTAGTTGGGGATATTTTCTGTCAGGATAGTTTCGGCGCGGATTCCGCAAATGACCGTGGTGTCTCCTGTCCGCACCAGAGCACTTCCGTGGGCATGTGACAAGCTGGACAGATTCACTGTAGGTTTCCGAACCTCAAAAGGAGCCCGGCCATTGCTTCGCGCAGGGGGGGTCGAGTCGTCGGATGGTTCGAGGTTTGCGAGGAGATACGGGTGAGGTGAGAGTTTGGCAAAGGTAGAGCGCGATAGGCCCACCTCTGGTGCCATGATGATTCGAGAGTTTTTGGCGTGATTGAGGGGTATTACCGAGAGACGGATGCACAAATAGCGCCGCAAGGGGAAAGAAATTTGGGGATTTGCTTGGAATTGAGTTCTGAGCTCCCGTATCCAAAAAAGGCGTCTGGAAAAGAAAACTTGGCTCTCAGCCTTGCGGGGTGGGGAGATCTAAATTATCCACAGCCAATGAAATCAGCGTGGGGTCGCAAGGCTGAGCGTGGGCTCCTTTTCCATCGCCGGGACAGCAGATGGCTTTGGGGATCGAAGGTCGAAAAATGAGCCCCTATATCAATCGATACCATTGTTGCCGGATCATCTCATGTACAGATAGCGAGTGGTTCGATGAATCGCCAACTGCTACTCGTCCCCAGACAACAATCATCGCTAATCAGCAGTATCGTCTAGATAAAAGCTGCTCGGAACAAAGTTTGGCTTCCGGCTGTCACCACACGTGATTTGGCTGCAACGCCGCAACCCAGATCCCAGATTCTTCTACAGAGTAACTACGGATTATGCATGTTTGCATATGCTTCGAACATGGTATTCTTGAAGAGCTGTGGTAGCAGCAACTGCAAAGAGCTGCCGCAGCGCCTCCGTACCTGAATCCACAAACCAGAGACTGGGAACGTCCTCCCTGCCGCAGAACACGGCGTTTGACAAAGGCCATGATCAGATGATTCGCGCAGAACAGCAAGGCAGCCAGGGGAAGATATCCCAAACGACACACGATATCCAGAGCAACAATCCGCAGCGGCAACAGCCATTAGGCAGCCCTACGAGAGACGCCATCTCATGCGAAGCGAACAGCCCGCCAGATGCTCTGCCAAGCAAAGGATGCTCTCTGTACGACAGTCTACAGGCTGGTTCCTGACAAAGAGCCCGTTATGAGCCAAATTGGCGGCCATCTTACATGTCCCCGCACCCCCGTTTATTCAGTCCGCTGCCGTCCCTCTAAGCTGAGCGGCGAATCAGACGCCCCAGCTTGCCGCCCGTGTCCAAGACAGGCCCCCTCCAACCGAGTGCCGCCCGTCGAATCACAGTGCAGAGTGCATATAGCTCGCTGGGCCATCACCAACAGCCCTCCAACGCCGTTTTTCACTTGTCCAAACGGTCCTCGATTTGCGGCTGTTTGAGCTCGTGAGTGGCTCAATCTTCAACCCGGAGCTCCCCTCATTTCAGTCATTTGAGGGCTAATTACCTAATTGGGAAGAGGGACTTTGATGTTGGTGGCGGCGAGTTCGTGATTGTCTTTGCTCCACTGCCTTTGCTTGGCGAGCGAGGACGTGATTTCCAGACGGCAGAGAATGGTCCGAGTTTCCAGCACTGTGGTCTTTGAAAAGTCTCGGAGACTGTTTTTCGTCAAAACGGGGTTGTTCTTGATCTCCACGCGTTGTCGTCAGCAAAATCGGAGGCCACATGCCAGCCGCAGAGCGGATCAACTGCAGGTCGACTTTGGACGCAGAATCTGCCATGAATCGATCCCTCGTTAGCTTCCGGCCGTGCTTGTGCAGTCTGCAGACGAATCCTTGCTCGAGCATCAATCGTCTGCCGAGAAGAGGCCAGCCGCCCCCACCGGTCACTAGCAAGTTCCACTGATTACTTCTTTGTCGTTGCAGCAGTACCTGTCTTTGCCAGACTTGGGACACACCATGTCTGTATTCCGGAGCTATGCCCGTAGATTGACCTGCATGCTGCCTTGTTCGTCACCTTGCCTGTCACACTGGGCCGCGCCAATTTGCCCGCCGAGGCGTGGTCACCCCCGGATGCACAAAAGTCAGCCACCAAGCGACCAATCTCGCGACCTGCCCAGCCGCTGCGGTCGATGTGCTTCCCGTTAATCTCTGCCGCTGTTCTGCCTTCTCCTTGGGCCGGACTGTCCGATTGATTGATTCGAACTGTCACAGTTCTTGCATCGTTCCATTCCCCGCTCACATGGCGATATAGCACATCACCAACGCCTGATGCTCGTTCGTATCTGATCCGCCGCTTGTCGCCCGCCGTTACAATGGGCATTACTGCTTGCGGCAATCTATCGTTGATGTGATCCACCGACTTAAAAACCCTTGTATCACTTGCTCCATGCCGAGCGCAGGGAGCTAGGAAGCCTGTAGGAGTGATGTCTGTGCTTTATATCCTCACGGGCCGCCGCATTTTAGCCCCCCCGCCGTTCATCAGTTGTTGATCAATCTTCACCATCCCGCTGCTCAAGCTCTTTCGCTTACTGCTGGCGTTTGCTCTTATCGAGAAGTCTGGCACTCCTCGTTATGACTGCAGGGCGCGCTGCTGTTTGATTGCCACTCGTTTACGGCAGCAAATCCGTCTTGATCGCTGATCGGTGGCTGTAAGCGCCCAGGCGGCTGTAATGCGATAAAAGCATTCGCTTTCCCTGGCCCAGCTTGAAACCACAGGCCTTCCCATTGCTTGCGTCCCACACAAGCGCCGAGTAATACTACCACCACGTCCTACTCCAACTCCCTGCGTCTCATCACCACTTTTGCTACGGTGCAGCTGAAGCGACTCAGCTGGCCATAATGGCACCCCAGGTGCAGGAGCTCGCCTTCCAAGCCACGCGAAGCATTTCCGATGTTGCAAAGCGGATACTGATTCCCTTGACTCCTACAAGCCCGCCGGGTCTTGTCCAGGCGAATACTGTCGATCCCTGGGCCAAAGCCGGCAAATATGCTCTGGGATGGACCTACTTTGCAGCCGCGCTCTCTGGCTGCGTATTCTTGGTCCGCGTGTGGCACTATTGGCAGGACAAGATTCGACAGGCCATTTACAAACAACAAGTCGAGGCTCACTATCGGGACACTTACAATGTTGACGCCGAGTTTGTCATGGATGCGATTCGCTCTGGCACGGCCTCGGAGTTCTTCACTGAGGGTAACCATATAGGCGAGAATAAGTTTCGTCCGAAAGCGCATTTCTCTTCCATTGGATTTGTAAACGACACGTTAGCATTGTTACGATGGGTGTTTTACCGGTCTATTCCCGATATTGTCATCGGAAAGTTTCGGTTTACTTTCTCGTCGCTTGCGGTCCTGACGGCAACCTTTATCGCCCTTGCTTTCGTCACCCTTTATACCTTTTTGCAGCAGCCACTTTACTGGGAGAGCATTCGATTTGGAGCACCGCCTGTGGCGATCAGAGCCGGTATGCTCTCCGTGGCACTGACCCCATGGATTGTGGCTACGAGCATGAAGTCGAATCTATTAACCCTATTCCTTGGCATTGGGCCAGAGCGACTGAATGTATTTCACCGATGGCTCAGCTACATTGCTTTATTTCTTGCCCTGGTTCACATGATCCCTTTCTACATTCAACCTGTGTGGGATGACAACGGCATGTCTGTTTGGGTTTCGGTTTTCCCACCTGGTAGCGGCATAATATACGGTAGCGGCATTGCCTGCATAGTACCATTGATTTGGCTATGTGTGACATCTTTCCCTTGGATCCGAAGAGTCGCCTACGAATTGTTTGTCATGTGCCACGTTCCCGTTGGTATTCTGTACGTTGGTGTATTGTTCTGGCATACCAAGAATCGTCTGATGACCTGGGACTATCTCTATGTAACTGTGGCCATCTGGGGAGCGTGTAATATCGCACGACTCTTCAAGCTCAACTGGACCAAACCAGGACGACTGTCTTTCATGGTCGGTGATGAGGCTGCCATTACCCTCATGGCTGAGAACGCAATCAAGGTCACTATACCTACCCAGATGCGTTGGAAGCCGGGCCAATATGTATACCTCCGTATGCCTGGCATTTCCTTCCTCGACAACCATCCATTCACTATTTCATCTCTCTGCAGTGAAGATTTCCCTTCCGAGTATGGAGAGAATTACCGAGATTGTATTCTCCTCTTCAAAGCATATGGTGGCTTTACACGCAAAGTTCTAGAAACTGCAATCGAAAAGGGCCCCTTTCATACATACCGTGCATTTTTAGATGGCCCATATGGCGGAATGACGCGCGATTTGGCTGCTTTTGATACTTGTATCCTCATTGCGGGTGGAAGTGGTATTACTTCACTGATTTCTCAGCTTCTCTACCTAGTGAAGCGAATGCGTGATGGCAAAGCCATCAGCAGGAAAGTTGTAGTCGTTTGGTCTATGAAAAAGCTGGAAGACATGGACTGGTTCCGAGAAGAGCTGCGCATCTGCCGCGAATCTGCGCCTCCCGAGAGCGTAAGCTGCAAGTTCTTCGTCACTGGAGCGGTTCGCAATCGGCCCGGGCAGCTCATGACTGCTCCCATCAATGGGGGAGCCAGCCGAGCCTTGACTCACAAGCTCCACGACAAACTTGATGGTTTCGTCGCAGGCATTGCTTCGAAGCGAAACTCGGCCTTTATTCAAGCTGAAGCACAGGGTGATCCGGAACGCGAGCGCGAACTCCGGGCTGAGAATGAGGATCGTATCACAGCGCTTCCACACCAAAAGTTCTTGCAACCTCATCAATATCCACCTCCACCACCCAATCCGCCTTCTGAAACGTCGACGATAAATCCAACCGTTGCGTCTGAAGATAACTTTGACCGCAAACTCAACGAAAATGGCTATCCCGAGGACAAAAAGCCACAGGCCTCGGAGCAGGAGCAGGAAATCCAACCTGTCCCAGCTCATCCTATTCCAGTTCCGGAGCTTGCACATTTATACAACACTGGTATTCCCGTCGGGGCTACCGAGCGTCCCATATCTACCTTTGGCCCACCTGCCGGGTTTGACTTTGGCTTCCCAGAAACTCCCACCGAGTTCCAAAAGAACCTTATGCGATCCGCGTTCCCCATGCCACACCAGACTGAGGACGGTTGGACCATTGAGTACGGCCGGCCCGAACTCGGATACATGCTCAAGCAATGGGCGACTGGTGGGCCAGAGGGCAGAGGCATCCTTGGCCGAAGGACTGCCGTCTTTGTCTGTGGTCCTCCGGGGATGAGAGTCGGTGTGGCCAACACGGTGGCAAAACTCCAAGCGGAAATTTGGGGCGATGATGAGCTGGAGGAAATATTCTTGCATACGGAGAATTATGCTCTATAGACCTCTTTGTGTGTATTTGTAGATGAAGATGATGGATGTGGAGGGTTATGACTGATGTATTTTTTTTTTTTCTTTGATGTTATGATAGGCTATAGAGCCACTGAGATACCACTTGTATATAGCAGCAAACACATATTTTCCTTGCTCCTAATTGAAGACCTTAATCCTCTTAGTCATACGTTCCTTGTCTTTGGTCACTTCTTGTCAAAGTCCGATATTTGTACAACTAGTGCTCTTACAACATGCGTAATACGAATATCAGTGCCCCAGCGTCACATTCCAGAGCAGCATAGCACCGCTGGTCAGTAATCGTAATACGACTGCCGCGACATTGAGATTGTTCAACTTGTCTCAATCAGCACCTTTGTCTTCAGATAGCTTCTCTATCGTGATTTAACTCCAAAGGTCTTCCCTCATAGCAGACGAGCTGTTTCCTAGAGAGTCTTGCACACTTCTGTTTCATTTATTCATATTCTCACTCACTTGTCCTCTTCATAAGACGAACATCTCAAAATGAAGTTTCTTGATACTTTTGTTGTTCTTGCCGCCTTTTTGACTGCCATCTTCGCCATGCCGGGTACCGACTCTCAAGAAGCTGGGGCTGATACTATTGAAGCCGACAATGATGAAAATATCTGTCGGCCTCGCCTTAGTAAGACATCATTTCACTACAATTATCATCAGAGACGCTTAGTAGAAAGTTTCTAAACTGCTTTCTTTCTCTTATAGCATCGTGCAAGGCTGACAAAGAGTGCTGCTCGCGCTCTTGCATCAAACACCATAAGATCAAGGTCTGCAAGTAACTGATATCTTAAAGTTTACACCGAAACCAGACTCCTGAGGAGACTCTGCTACTGAACTGCGGTTTTCATGTGGCTGCTGTCGCAGCCATGCTTCAGTGTCATAAGCTTCTGGGTTTCGCTATTGACTTTCCTTCGAGCACTATCTTATGACTACCTTACCTATGCTGCGAGAAGGGTTGGTGGCGTTCACTGTAGGGAAAAGTCTCCAAAGCTTCTTATCTCTTTGTGTGGGTTGGGCATCTACAACTTCAGGAAACAAAGGAGGATGCTTTCGTCTGTGGCGAGTTTTGCTCTTTGAAGACGTTACGCTTCCAACTTTTAGATTCCTTAAAAACTAGTCAAAATGACTACCTTGATGGCATGAGTCGTGGAAAATAAGGGCAGCTATGAGGCGAGCGTTGAACTTTCCGCGCACTCTATTGTGCTTGCCGGGCACCTTGATGGCTAGCGGCATTGTCGTCATATGCCTGTATATATATAGGCCGACCGTGGTTCACTGCAAAGCCTCCTGCTGCATAGAATTTGTATTCTTTAAAAATAACACTCGACCATAAGCGATAATCTTCGCATTACAATTTTGCTTTGCTAGGCCTCAAATTTCCCTATTTTTTGATTGAAAGAAAGCATTTATTCGAGCGTTGGATATTACCCACTGTGTCGTACTCGCGCCGACACCATGCTCGACTTTGACGAAGGCGTGCTAAACAAGATGGAGAAGGGATGGGCTATTGCGACGCGCTGCTCAGAACAAAGACTAAAGAGAATATACGAATGGACAGACGCAGAGCTCAATACAGCCATCAAGGAAGGGATGGTGATGCTGGAGACTGTTTGCGTGTTTGTGCACGGATGTATCAAGTCAGGACAATACAAGTGCGCTAAGCTGCCATTCCATTCCCCCGATATGGATATTGATGCCGATTGCTGACTTTTGAGTGTTGTTCGTGTTAGGCTTCCAGCTGAATTTTGGAAGATTCTTCATGCCGAATATGGCATCGTCGTTTATCCGTCAGCCTTGACAGAGAGCATTGCTGCTGTGGGCGTGGGAGCGGCTCAGACCTTCTCGGAGGTATACAGCAGTCATATTGGTAAGGGAGTTGTGAGCCAAAACCATACATTGGTGTTGATGCACTAACGTGGAGCTGTTTCTGTTGGATAGTCATGCTTGGAAAACGAGATACAAACCATCCACCGCTTTGCCCGTTTGAATATATAAAGGAGCCGCTGCCGGTATACGAGAAATGAGAAGGTAAAGATTGGGACAATTGGTCGTGGTTTGGAATTAAGTAGCGAGTTTAGGAGATATGAACATCTCGTATGCTAATAGATGATAGCGCAAGAGGAACATTTCCAAGATGAATATAATAGAAGAGAAAGATCACTCATTCTTATGATTCCACCTTGTGTCCCATGGCGCCATCTCGGTTTGCCCTCCAGACGCCCTCTTCACCTTCAAATTCTTCCCTCTTCCATACCTCTACCCTTGACTTGCATGCTTCTAGGGCCTCTTCTCCTGCCAGCCATGCAGCTTTTCTGTGTGGCGATGAGACGGCGATGAGGATGCTCTCTTCGCCTATGGGTACAGTGCCTAGACGGTGAATCATGGAGATTCCCTTGAGTCCGTGCTTGTTGAGGATGTCTTTGCAAATGGCTAACATTGATCGCAATGCCAGTTTGTTGTAGGCCGTGTACTGAAGCTCCTTAACCGGCTTTCCGGCAAAGTTATCTCTTGTGGTTCCTGTGAAATTTGTGTTATCAAAGTGAGCCATGTGGAACGCATGTTATCTGAGATGAGAGAGGCCTATAACCAACCTGCGAATAAGACGATTGCCCCGGCCATGGGGCTGCGGACCTTGTCTATCGCCTCTTGGATGTTGAGGAAATCATGTGTCAAGCCCACATAGCAGTTCTGTTCCGACATATTCCATATTTCAGTTGCATCGCCGTCTTTGAGGTCTCCCATGGCTGGTGGCGAAAGCGGTTCAATGCTGAATGAAGTGAGACAAGTGACAGTCAATGAGAGAAAGTATTGCGAAAAACGAGCACTTTGAGTATCCCAAAAATGCAGTATAGAATATGTGTATGAGAAACAGATATGACTGAAATGATATTGTAAAAGCGAGACGAATATCCAAAAAGTATAACTGTTTTGCAGGCTGTTTGCAAAGGTTTAAGCGCAGTCCAGACGGCTGGTCGGGCATGTACCTTGCACCAACAGATAGGCGAGGGGAGACACGAGAACACCCCCGCCAGAACACAGCGCAGCTGAGTCAGCGTTCAGCTGTTAGAGTTTCGGGCATTCCATAAACTCAGTCGGCCATAGATCCAATCGATATGCTAAACCATCCCGCCAATACCTTCTTCCCTTGTCTTCAGCCTTACTCGACCAAGCCATCGCTAACCCTTTTGACTCCCTCTTCTGCTGTATTTCGTTTTGCTTCCCTCACCGCATCTACATCTTGACGCCCCCTATATATTGTGCGCTGATTGCCCTCCGTCGTTATGCGCGACGACCAACACGCACGATCCCCAGACCGGGGCAGAGACCGAGAACGCCATCGCGACGCTCGCTACTCTCGACCACGAGACTTGCAGCACCGGCCGGACGACGACTACCAACAATCGCGGCAGGGTAAAGACACGGCCCGCGCACTCATGGGAGCTTAGCTCCAGCTTCGGGACACACCTTGGCAGATGAAATTGAGCTTGACGGCTAACTTGCCCACGGGTCAACGAGGCTATTCACAGTCTCCGTCCAGGGACGACGACATGCACATGCACGACAGCGGCGCGTGGGGCCGGCGCGACCATCGCCCCAGGCCGTATTCACAGCATCAGCATCAGCATCAGCATCCCTACCGAGACGCTCATGATGCGCGCCCAAGGCGAGACCTGAGCCCTCATGACTGGAGCCGTGACAACCAGGGCAGCATGTATAGCGATGAATATCACCGTGGACGCCAAGAACAAGCTAGAGGCAACGACTATGCTTCCCCCTCGTATCGCGATAGGCGGTCTTACAACTCCCGATCACCGCACAGGGACTATTATAGCAGGAGTCGCTCTCGCAGTCCAGGCTTGGACGGCGGCCGATTAAGAGAAGCTGGCCCACCCAGCGACACCGTCATATTTGAAGGGCTGCCCGGCAAGATAGATGCAGCTGAGGTCCGTACTGTTTGACGAGTTTGAAGAGCATGCCGAAGAAGAGATCAACAGGACGTAATATGTGTCTAATCAAAGCGTGAATCCAGCTACGAGAGAGCATTGTCCAGAGCTGCATTTCAGACGACTTCCTATTAGTCGATGTCCGGATCACTCATGCCAAAGGTATGTCTACCTGTTGACTTTACATGCTGAGAACATACCACTAATTGTCCCAAAGGAAAACGCAGAGCTTTCATTCAGTTTGAGGATGTTGATCATGCAGCCGCCTTTGTCAATGAAAACTTCCCAAAAGTCCGCATCACTCTGCCTCAGACCACTGATGACGCTCCAGATGGCAAGATTAGTGCCTATATCCACTTTGCTCATCGCAGAGATGACACAGAAGCGCGTGTTTCCAGCGGTGGCCAATGGGTCTGCCAACCTGTAAGATGATCTATGCTGCATTAACTGGAGCCATAACTAAGATGAGATGTATGCAGTGCGGTTTCAGCAACTATTCGTCGCGCACAAAATGCAAGCGGTGCGGCGCATTGCCATCTTGTATGTTACTAAAAACAAACTCTCAACGCTACTCATGACTGACAACTTATATTGTTCTTAGCTTCAGCCATGCATCTAAGCCTAAACCCAGCGGCTGATGCTGGCGATGCACCTACGCAGATCCTGGTAGTCTATCCCCTACCTGCATTTGTCAACGAGGACATGTTTGCTGCGGATATGAAGCGACTTGAGCTTGAAAAGCCCGACGCAGCCAGTCAGAAGCTGGCATCGGGCTCAAAGCTGCAGTCGACTGCTCCAGCTGATCGTGCCGCTCGAACTGGTGCACGCCCAGGATCACTGCACCGCGTATTCTTGATGCGCGATCCTAGCACTGAGGAGTCAGCTAAATATGGCTTTGCCGAATTCTGGACTTTGCAAGATGCCGTTGACGCCATGGCCAAAATCAGGCTGTTGCCATCTTTTACTGTTTCGGCTTGTGCCGTCACCGTGTCTCATATACATATGGGAGTGTTTGTTCCTGAAGAGCGTCAGATCATGCCTGATACAGAACGATTTTCCTTCAATCCTCTATTCAATCCTACTCTGCGTGTTCGATACCGCGATCTGCGAGCATATCCCAGCCAGAAGATTGTTGCCGCCGAATCTCCTGAGAATCTCACAGGCAACGGAGAGCCCAAAGCCGGCGAGCAGGACAATAACAAAAAGGTTAAGAAAAGAAAAGCAGACGATCCTCTGGGCGCCACTCTCAAAAAGTCGGCCCCAGCTATGGCTGGCCACATGGCTATGTGGCAGAAGAAGCATGAAGAGATCCATGTAAATGGACCTGGTGGCACAGCAGCAGCAAAACAGCCTTCGCAACCTACAAAGAGCTCCAAAGCAGCACCTATCAAGTTTTCAATTACAGGAACATCCATGCAAGCTACTGATCCTCCGCCTCCTTCATTACCGCCTCCAGCACCTCCCGCAGATCCAGCACCGCCACTTCCATCAAGCGAACAAAACGACGACAATACCTCTGCGAGCAAGCTGGATACGACAATCAAAGTCGAGAAGCCAGTCACTCCATACGGGGACAGGGACAAACTACAATGTCTTCTTTGCATGCGTAAATTCAAGTCACTGGACGAACTAGGTCGCCATGAAGGTTCGCAGTTACACGCAGAAAAGCTCCAAGATGAGCAGGCTATCAAGAATGCACTGGAGAGGTTGGCCAAACGGGGTATCCAGCCGCAGACGCAAGCGGAAGCAGATGATGATGCCAGCTCCACGGCACCAAAATATCGTGACAGAGCCAAGGAGCGGCGTGAGCAGTGGAATCAGCCCAAAAAGCCCTTGCCAGCCTCAAGCGATAAAGGTGCTCCAGGGGCTCAAAAGGAACAGGCGAAGCCTCCAGCTCAAGAAAAGGCCCCGGTACAGTCCAAGGGCGCCGGAATACTCGCCAAGATGGGCTGGACGACTGGCACTGGCCTGGGTGCTAATGCCGAGGGACGCACCGAGAGTATCGTGACTAACGTATATAGGGAGGGCGTCGGCCTCGGGGCTGAGGGCGCCAATCTGGGCAACGCACAGGCTTATGGAGAGAGCAAAACGCTTAATAATCGCCAGGATTACATGAATGCCGTGAATGACCTGGCAAGAGAGCGGTTTTTCAACGAGTTTGGTGGGAAGAAAGATGAGAAGAATGGCGAGCAAAAGGACGAGTAGAAGGACAGGGGGGACACGAAACGGAAGTGAGGCAGTGAGGTAGTAATAGGCCCATAGTACTGGAGGATTGGAGCTAAGTAGATATGCTCCTGCATACATGGAAAGGCGTTTTAATTGAAAATTTAAATTTTTTTCGATAGCTATAATCGGCATCTACTTGTTTGGCAGAGGTTTTCCCCCTATTAGCCATATTTGGAACCTAGAGTGAAAGCCTTTTTCATGAAGTCAGCGCCCGATGCTATACGAATGGTTCTCGAGGAAAGCTGTGATTTGAATGTCAAGATTTCTTTTATCAATTATATCTATTATTTTCAGCGCCTGTTTATATGCGCGCTTGGTATATTCAACAATGTCATAACCTATATAACGTATTCAAGAAGCCAGCATCGCTTCCCTACCTCTCGTCATTTCGTATCCAAACATTTTCATACTATGATTCGCAAATTTTGAGTAATTTCTGCCATGTACTCTCACGCTCCCCATCTCAGTAATACTTATTAGTTATAGAAAAGAGTTGAAAAAATTATCCTAAACACCTCGCTATATCTGCTTTCTATTATAGCATAATCATGGAAAGAGTCACAAAAACGGTGCCTGCAATAGCGGCCGAGAAGGCAGGATGCAGCGCGATGCCGGCATTGTCTAAAGAAGCGTTAGTATCAGTCAGAGCTGTCAAGGATGCCGAGAGTCTTACCCTTGCTTGAGCTGTCACCATCGTCACTCGAACTGTCATCGGAGCCTGTGGAAACGGGGCCTGGGATAGATTTTGAGCCTGCCTTGAACTCAAGGATGGAGCTGCTGGTTGAATTGAGCGTGGCCTGGGCAATGCCAACCTGCTGGTTCTGCAGGTCATACACGACATAGGCGGAGCGCAAGAAAGTGTCTCCAAGGAGAACGAATTGGTCGGACGAGATGCCGAAATCCGAGGTGGAAGCCATGCCGAAGGTGCAAACGCCGCTCCAGCCCTTGAATACCTGCTTCAAGGTTGGGTCCGAGAAGATCTGATCTTGTACGCTGGCCAAGTTGTTGATGACCATTTCGTCGATAGGCACTTTGATCGTCTTGTTTGTGAACTGGAAGCTGAAAGACGTATCTTTGAGATTAGCCTTGGCGCAGTCGACAAACGGATTAGGAACGCCTTGGACGTTCATGACGCCAAATTCTTTCCAAACAGCTTGTACGACATCGCCCGGGAGAAGACTGATGGTCGAACCAGAGTCGAGAATAGCGGTGGCGTCGACTGCAGGAGTATCGAGGCCAGAAACTTTGAGTCCATTCAACTGGACGGCGTACATGACAATATCCGAAGTCCTAGAAACGGATGCAGGAAGCGATTGGAAGGGCAGGGTTGCGAGACCGCCGTGGAACTTGTCGGTATCGACGCCTCCGAAGAGAATAGAGCCCTGGCTGGTCTGCAGATCATTGAGATAGAGACTGAAGGCGGGCATGGCAATGATTTTTTGAGAGACCATGTTTTCGATGACGGTCGGATATTTGATTGCAGCCGCCTCGTTTGACCTGAATCCTAGGCCCATAAGGCCTGTTCCACGGACAGACTCCAAGGCCAGACCCATTTTCTGGTTCTTAATCGTGGCATCGTTGATGGTAACGGTGTCTTGGAAGTATCTGCCCCTGATGTTACGGCCATCAAGATAGGTGATGTTGAAGACCTCTCTAGTTGAATTGAAAGATTTGCTCTTGGTCTGATCAACTACGGTGCGAAGGATGTTAGCCAGCTGATCGAATTTGAGACATTGGAGTATGGCCGACTTACATTGTTTTGAGCAGGATTCTCCAACTTGCTCTTGTATAATCGAATCTGTGCAGAGATCTGCATCTACCGAGTTGACCCAGGTATCACTACTACCAGTGTCGAGCATGAAACTCAGCTTCTGGGGTGGTGTGCCAACGCTGAACTCGGCATAGTAGCCGCCTCCCGTGATATTGTTGAGGGCATCAAGAGCAACAGTGCCATCACGACGCAGCAATGATGGGAGCGGATTGCTGTCCAGGAATCGCTTCTCAAAGGGAACGGAGACGACGCCTGCAGAGACTGTGCCAGCGGCAACGAGACCCGCCAGCGAGGCGTACTGAAGAGTAGAACGCATTGTGAACGGCGCAAGAAGTCTGACTGCAAGCCAATCAATCGTAAGGGGAGCGACAGATTAGACGAGACGAGCCAGTCCAGAGCCGGAAGATGAACCGCTGTAAAAGAAGAACCGCGTTTGTCACACAAGAAAACACGAGAATTGGCTTGGGCTCCTCTCTGTATTTAAGCATAGATTTTAAGGCTGCGGCGATTGCCCGAACGAGCTGAACAGCATCGTCGCTTGGTCGTCGCCTCATCCCTGCCGCTGCAGGAGGCTAGAGCCGCTTGGGCCGGGATATCATGCTTGTGACCCAAAAGGCCCCGGCCACCCATGAGTCTATTTTTACCCGTGATGGGCGAGCACGATAGTGGTGAAGCTCCTTGTTGTTGGATCGTACGATGCTGGGAGAAGTGCCGTGTCAGTATGTTAGTCTTGTCTTGTCTTGTCTGTCTCACCTTGCCCATCAACCATCAATCGTCCAGCTCAAAACAGCCGCCAAGCCAGGAGAGCCTCGATGCCACCCGTCCCCAACGCCAAGGCGCCTTGGCTGCAGCTAGCTCGACAGACGGCGTCGCGCAGGATGAGCGTAGCACCGCTAGCATCAATTAGCTGTAAAAGGGCCATCCTTGGCAGAGCAATTCAGCCACCCGTCAATCCTTCTGGAGCTGAAGCGCCACTTGAGCGATCCAGAACAGCAGGGCCGCTATTATCCACCTTCTGCGAAGAGCCTCCGTTGGACCAACGCGCTCTGAGTCCCCTGTTTTCCCATGCTTTTTGATCCCTTGGCCATTTTGTTGGTTTTTTTGGATGCGCCTCGCTGCGCCACTGGCCCAATTCAAGCTAACAGAGCTCTCTGCACGATGAGTCAATGGCTGGTACTGATGAAATCTGCCGCGGATACTACTTGAAATGGGCGATCTTGTCTGCCGCGTATCTAAAAGAGGAACTCTCGAGTAAGTCGTAATGTGAAGAAAGAGTTTTTGATAGATGGGCAGACTGATGCAAACACTCTGCATTGGCTTTTCTGCAGATTGTAGTCGGAGTCGGGTTGCGTTCTTCCGTACCTTCCCTCTTCAGTTAATAAAGCTGGCATAACGCCCAAGACCAAGCCTCTCCTACAGTGCCATTACATACGCATTTAGGCATTGAGTAAATCGAGAAGCATGACGACGATTTTGAATTGAATCTTTTCAAGCACTAAGCGTAAAGGATATAACATCTTGTTTAAGATATACATTTCCCTGTCAAATTGCCAGATCAAGACAAACGAGATTACCTGTCTCAAATTCTCTGTTCCATTGTAGCTTAATTACCTAACTTGTCAAAATTAAATTCGAAATGTAGCCAGTTGTTATACTTGTCAACAATGACTATATGGTTCTTGTATACTCCAACTGGCTGACGCCAATCTACGTAGGCTTCATCTAGCTGAGGCCGACAGTCCGGAGGGAGCCAAAGCAGCGGTTTATTCGACTTCAGGATCCAATCTTTATTTTTGCTGAGGCTGAGCATAGGCAATTCATCGTTGTAACGTAACTGTTGCCCCTGAGAAAAATACACAAGGGGCATCTCTACCTGCTTCGAGAGATGTGAATCCAATTCCTCATGTTTCCGACCTGTTAGTTCTGAGATATCTTCATGGGGGTATACACCTGTAAGTAGACCCCAGATGGTGGTGTAGGTGTCGCCCGGTCTGAATGAACGCCCGCCTGGTGGTGTATTACTTGGTGAAAACTCTATCCATAAATCCACAAACCGATCATTTTCAATCGTGTATAAGCACGTCCCAGATGTTAAATCCCATATTTTAATAAATCCATCAGGCGATCTCGACGCTGGTTGAGTGTTTCTGGAAGAATATGGTTTACTCTTGAGGGTTCGAAACCTTGCACCCGTGAAACGATCCCCAAATGACCTATAGTCATAAGCGCCTTCAGCGGTTGCCAGCTGCATGCTGTCTGGGGAAAAGGCGATGCCCTCAAAACTATACGACGTCTTCATTGTCCATTGAAATGCACGTGCGGCGGTGTCCCAGATCCTGATAGTTTCATCTCTTAAACCCAATGCTATCCACCTCCCATCAGGCGAGAATGCGACGAAATCGATTCGGTCTTGACATTTCGAATAGGTCGTAATATCTGGGGAGCTTTTAGCAGCCAGATCCCAGATTTTAATGGTGCAATCCCCAGAACCTGATGCCAGCCGCAAGCCATCGGGCGAAAAAGCCAATGTGTAGACCTCTTCCGTATGGCCTAGAAGTGTCTGCAGACATGTACCAGTGGCAATATCCCAAATTTTGATCTCTTTCTCTCTTGTTGATGCTAGCCGCAATCCATCGGCCGAGAACATCATTGCTTTCTTCTTGAGACAAGGGTCTCCGATTGTCTGTAGGCAACTACTGGTGGCAAGATCCCAGATGTCGATTGCGCCATGACTCGCAAGTGCCAGTCGCATCCCATCAGGTGAAAGTGCTAATTCGTCCCTGCCTGCCACTTCCTTCGCCATAACCGTAGCCTGTAGGCATTTGCCAGTAGCCAAATCCAGAACTTTCATAGTGTCCGTTTCCGGGTTGTAGACCACCACCTTGGCATGAAATATCCGATCTGTAAACACAGGTGCTCCCGTATCGGCTTCTGTACAATGGGATCCAACGACTCCGTTGAGAAATTCCGAGTTCAATTGTGCACAATCTGAGGGGAAAACTGTGGCCAGGACCAATTCGCTTGGGTGAGTAGTATGCGTGTGAAAATCCTCACTTGTAGCAAGATTGTGAATTTCCAGAGTGGTGTCGCCCATAAGAGCCAGATGGGTGCCGTCTGTGCAAAAGCTCGCTGATTGGAAATAGCCTTCCATAGTCTTGATTCGAGTGCCCGTGATGAGATCCCAAATCTCAACTTTTTCAATGGCAATCAGTGCCAATTGGGTACTGTGTGGTGAGAAAACCACTTCCATGACAAGCTCGGTCTCAAACGTATGTAAGCACACTCCGGATATCAAATTCCAGACCTTGGCCTTTTTACCATAGGCAATCGCCGCCAGCATTGTATTATCCGGCGAAATTGCTACTGAACCAACAGCATATTCATAGTCGCCAATTGTCTGTATGCAGGGGCTCCAATTTGATTTCATCTTAGGTTTAGACACGATCCATTTTGGGCACTGCTCTGCCTCAAGCAGTTTCCTGGATATGCTTTCGCTGGGGCTGAATATAAGTGCGGAGGCATATATCTGTAGTGGATACGCTTCAATTATCGCCCTATGTGAAGAGACAAGGCGATAGACGTCTCTTGTCAGTTCAAGGGTCTCATTCCTTTCGCTGTTTACCTATGCTATTATTAGACCTGGTCTCGCAAGCGCTGCTCTGCTCTCAGGTTCACATACCAATATATCTGGTTTCCCTTCAGGCATCACAGTGTCGGCTAGCCAACGATCGTGTCCAATTTGGCCTCTTTTTCTCGCGTGAGGCGGTTCATAAGTCCGATTACTATTACCATCCATTGTGTAATAGCTTGTAATCAAGTCTCGCAGCCTTTGAATAGCAATTACGGCTTGGGGTAATAATTTCAACAAGACCATTGCTTCTAGCCAGTTTAAATACTTTTCCTTGAGGAACGTGTGAAGTATTCCGCCGTCTTGAAATAGCCGAGGTTGTCTGCAATGAGATAGGTGCTCAATCCAAAATGCACAGCAGTATGCTTTTGATGCTAATGGGTTCGGATTCGGTGGTGCAACTTCATCCACATGTTCTCCTGGTGTTCTGACATTATAGATGTCGCATCGAAGGACCTTATCCAAAACATTGAGTGAGATTTCAAACATCTTAGAATGTTGACGCTCAATTCCTCTAGGGAAAATACTGATGGCTCCCTTGTGTGCCATATAGTCTTTAACAGACTGGTGGATGAAGTATATAGTCTTGTCCATGATGGTTATAAATGATCCGCAAGCCTTAGCCAAGTATTCGATATCGCTTGGAAGATACCTGACCTTGGTGCCGATTAATTGAGAGCTGGTGAATAGATATAATTCATCAATATGAAGCGGTCGCTCGGCGGCAGTCACTGTTGCTAAAAAAATGAGACAGGCTTCTGTGTCATTTTTCCACCCCTTCTTCGAACGCTCCATTATCTCATCGTAGAGGCTTTCCAAATCTTCGGGCATTTCTTCCAAAATTCTTTCGATGTGAGGACGGCCAGCACCTCGTAGCTGTTGGACAACAAGTGTTACCCATAAAAAGGTACCGTTTGCCTTTGTTTTGAGTATATTAACCGTCTTCTCGCGGAGGTCATCATCCCCCTCAAGCGCCTCAATGTCTCGAGCACAGCGATCTATATATGTATCAACAGCGCTGGAGACATGGCCTGCATTGCTTTGCAATTCCAATATTAGCCTGTTGTCAATCGACTTTAATGCGTGTTCAATTTCTTTCTCATTTCGACTGGATACTAACCACTTGATGTGGCTGCTCGTGTCCATGATGAGATTAAAGAGCGATTTGCGCGATTCTTGGTGTTGGCATTCATCGAGGGCGTCAATAATAAAAGTAGAATCTGCCATGCATGGATCTTGAGTAATAGTTGTAAAAATCCGGCTAAGCGCAACCCACGCATTAGTTCCTTCTAAGTAACCTCTTGGCTCCTTTTTTACCTGTTCCTGGATGGATGAAAGAAGGCCTTGGTTTTGTCGAAGCACTGAGTAAATCAAGCCCCTGATAATAGCGGTGGCTGTATTAAGTCGGGTATCTGTGCCTTGACAGAAGAAATAGACCAATTTCCCTTGTAGCTTGCAATTGTTTTCGAAATCTTCAATGATTCCACAGAGAAGCATTGTTTTGCCTTTTCCAGGGTCCCCTTTGACCCAAAAAACTCCATTCTTTTGTTTGTCGCGCCATTTTCTGAATTCTTTATGCGCGAGGATCCAGCGATACGAGTCGTATATCAGGGGACCCTTGGATTCAAGTATTCGTTTTTTATCATCCACAGGATTTGTTTTGCTGATGTCTTGAAGAAAAGCTGTATCTGCAGCAGAGGGGTCTGTAAAGCTGTTTAGTAATGCCAGGCCAGGGGTTGTATGTCGCTTATGGTCTTCATACCCGTGCTAACATTGATTACATTGTTGATCAAATCTCCAAGAAGTACTGTGGCATCGTTTCCAAACGTATTTCCCGTAACTTCTCTCGTAGACGTCATTTTATTCCGTTCTTTTGGCAGTTTAGGGAAAATACTGGATTTTCACGATAGTGAGGTCAGACAGCCAGTCACTTTGTAAAGATGAAAATAGATTAGGTAGGTTGCTGAAAAAATATCGGGCATAGTATTAGTTGCATGTAGATTAGGCATACTAGCATATCAGGCAACCGAATATTGGACACCGCCAAGTACTACATCGCTACAAGATACCTCTGACTCAAGGCTTTCATTTGGCTTCATCTGACATCCTGCCCTGTCACATTGATACTTCATGTTACCTATGCGCGGGGTCTCAGCCGTACCAGCCTCATTTTCATTATGTCTTGTCAATTTGTAAATTCCAAGGCGCATCCAATAACTAGCATTCAAGGCCCCGCACAAGCGTCTCTCTTAGCAGTATTTCTATTTTATTGAGCCTGGTCCTATCAATGTAATACAGTAAAGAGTTGGTACATACGGGTGAGAAAGGAGCGATTGTCATTTATAGATGGCCTTATACCCTACGTACCACTTACTACTACCTAGTACCTTACCTACCTACCTTAGTACTGATAGGTATCTCATATTCTTACTGGCACGTCATGGAGTATACTCCTCTCAATCCTAACTTGTATAAATTCTGTGTTGCATAATGCCTATAGCCGATCTAGGTGTAGTGAAGCGTCATACAATATATCTGTACTCACTTCGCGTTGATGAAAATGTGTTCATCTATCATGATTCGATAATATGACTTAGAGCCTCCATTAGCGCCTCAAGCCTCAGCTTAAGGCCCTCCTGCCACGTCAATCCACTTATACACGGAACCTCAGATGAACCAGCTACAACCTCACCATATCTAGTCACCTTCCAAACCCCCGTGGCATAAGGACTCTCCCAATGCATAGACACGCCAAGCTCCTTTTCATAGACCTCGTCATTGCCGTTAGCCCACATAATGGTCCCAAGTCTCGCCTTGTGTAGCAATGTTGCGAATCTATCCCGACTAGCAATAGCATAATCATGCTTCTTTGGCCCCAGCCAAATCTCAGAAGGCTTCAAGGTGTAAAGAGCTCTCTGGAGCGTCGCCTCGTCGACAGTCAACTTGCCAAAATCCATGGCTCTCTGAGACAAGGAGATTTCTCTTCCAAGCTGCATCATCTCTAGCAACCTATTGATGGTGCTTATGCCTGTCCATGTTTGGCTGTCCTTTGCCATATCCCGATCGAGATTGACCACAAAGCGCAACCTTTTCGTAGGCTCAATGGCCGTTGCGCTGCCTATGATGAATTTGTACTCCCAGTATCGTCGAATAGCGTTAATGTTTCGAGTTTCAAACGCGTACGTCTCCTTCCCCTTGCCCTTGCTCTTCTCATCGCTGGTAGTCACATCTTCGAAGAGCATTTTCTTGCATTCTGGGCACCAGTCAAAGACAAACCTGACTGCCCTAAGCTCGCTATCGCAGCAATACACTAGTTTCTTCTTCAAGGCTGAGTAGCTGGAGTAAACTGCGCATTTTCGGTCTTCGGAGCACGGGTAGTGCCCACAGACTGTAAATAAGGAATAGGCTGTGACGCACATGGCGAGGTTTGGCTTTCTGCCCTGGATATGGAAGAGAGTTGATCGGCAAAAAAAAAATAACGAAAGGGGGCCAAGTGGTTTATCGTAGACTGACAATTGTGATTGTGTTCCTCGAGGTAACCTCTCAAGCTGGATTCTGAGATGTTTATATACTAGAGTATGACGTACGGATGTTCGAGTATTGAGAAGAGGTTGAACAAACGAGCCGCCTTTGATGAGAAGGCAGCGAACAAGTGAATAACGACAATGGCAACAATGGCAATGCTCAACATATTATCTTTGTCTAAATAATGCTCACAAACAGTTCTTGTACCAGAACCTTTATCAATGTAATGTTCAAATCGCAAATCTCAATCTAGCTTGTTGCACATAGGCACTGAATGCCTTCATTCACAACACCTTCAAATCTTGGACGTCTTCTCCGTCCCATCCTGCTGCAATCTCACAACGCCCTAAAAGTATTCACTCATTAGCATTCACACCCATCAGCGGCAACAAAGAAGAAGAAGGAAATCTCACCTCCTGCATACAACTCGCCAGCAACGTCCCATCCTGCGCATAGATCCTCTGCATCACCACCCCCCTCCCATCCCCACTCCACGGGCTCTCAATCTCCGAAAACATCCACTCATCCGCTCTCACCCTCTTTGGCTCGTGAAAGTAAATGCTGTGATCCAGACTCACCAGCATCCCCATCCGCGGCCGCGTCAGCCAGTCCTCCAACTTGCTTCCCAGGCCCTCAAACTCGAGAAACTGCTGCAGCGGCGCCCTCTTGTCTTCGGGCAGCGCGGCCACTTCTTCCGGCGTCATGCCCAACCGCCACAGCTTATGAATCCGCGACACCATGCCGATGAAGTAGCTATCCGAGATGTACGCCAGCGCGTTGAGATGCGCCTGATGCCCGCCCTCAGCAGAGATCTTGCCCCGACTGCGATGCCACTGCCGCGCCCTTCGCTGATCCGGCCTCGTCTCATTGTCATTCATATTGAGCAGCTCAATCCGCCGGCTCTGAAACGGGCCTTTATCCCACGCCGCGTCCGGCTCGTTATCCCAGCTCGCCTGCGGCATGTCCACGCCCTCGGGCAGCGCCGCCGCGTGATGGATCTGCTTTGCACCACCACTGGCTTCGCGCACGAAGCTGATCGTCGTGGTGAAGATGCACTTGCCCTTCTGCCGCGCCTGCACCGTCCGCGTGGCAAAGGACCGGCCGTCGCGCACGCGCTCGACGTGGTACATGATGGGGATCGTCGCCGAGCCCGCCAGCAGGAAATAGCAGTGGCACGAATGCACCAGAAAATCGTCCTTGACCGTTAGCTGCGCCGCCGCCAGGCACTGCGCAATCACGGCGCCGCCATAGACACCGCGCGCACCAGGAGGCAGCCACAGCGGACGTGTGTTGGTGAAGATGTCCTGTCAGAGCAGAGATTTGAGGTCAGCTCAGGGTGGTGATGCCTTCAAGTGCTCCCATTTGTAAACTCACCTCGCCCAGCACCGCCAGCGGCGTCACCTCCACCGTGTTCTCAATCGGCGCCTTGTTGGGATCTGGCTCCGGAGGCCGTAGTAACGTCGTTCGCTTGTCCAGCACTTTTTCTGTTCCCTCCATCTTCGGCGCCTCTTTGTCGCCGTCACTCATTCTTTCTTCAGTGCCCTCCCTTTTGTCCGCTGCTTTCCTTCTATTTCCCTTTCTATCTTGAAAACAAAAGACGCGAAGGATTGTTCATTCAGGGGTCAGTACAATTCTTCCTTTAATGTTGCGAACACAATAAAATTTAAGAAAATTCAGGGTCCGAGCAATCGAGTCAAGTCTGTTGACACAGAGCCCATCAGGGGTCCTCACTTGACGTCAGGTCCAGAATTTGCCTCGGCTCAAATCCAGCCAGCCAGCTGTTCCTGTCTCACAATCTCAGGCTAGTCCTTTAGTAGTCCACTTTAGCAATAAGCACTTCTAGTTGAGCTCTCATGCAAACAACGCGAAAGCAGTAACAGCTGCAAAATAGGAAATAAGTTGGTTCATTATTAAGCGGGCAAGCAGGCAAAGTAGAGCCACTAAGGCTCGCCAATGCATGCATCTCGGGTTATTCCTCTTCAATCTAGTTGGACGACACGCTCATCGTCACTGCCGATGCCGAGGCTCAATTCGTCCGCCGCGGAATGCGTGTCTCCGTAGCTCCATGGATCTAGACAAAGGGGCACTTCTTGTATGATTGTGGCACAACTAGGCGTAAATGATCATGAGGCAGGATTATCAATATTTGCTCGGTGTCGACTTACCAAGTCAATGCCGTTCCATGTGAAAATTGATGCCATTCAGCACCGGCGCTCTGCCAATGCCTTCTCTGGTACTCTGGACACTCACATCCCACATTTGTGCTTTACAGCCCATTAACATGGGTATATTGAGAAGGAAATATTTTGGTGATGCTAATATTGCATACGAACTACGTCGCATATCGTCCATTTCTCTCATCCACTTCCCTCACTCTCGTCGTCATCTTCACCCCCTTCCCTCTTCATGTGTTTGCCCGAACAAAAAAAAACAGACAGCTCAATCCCTCAAATCTAGTGCTAAAACACCTATACATTTACATTTGATATCTCTCCATTGTTTTCAACGCTTTCACCGTCAGCTTCCATCCCCTGCATGACGAACTCCCTAAGCCTGTATATCGTCATAAATAGGCTCCAAACCTGCCCACGCTGCCTCGTAATCGCCATCAGGTCCGGCCTTTTCTCTCCGCCTCCAGTACTCGCCGTTGAATTTCCAGTACTCTTCGCCTGTAATTTCACAGATTTCCTTTGTGAACCATTTGGAATTGAAATTTCCATTAGCAATCTCACGCGCTCGTCGGCGGGCACGCTGGTTCTCTTCTAACCTATTCTTCTCTGTCGCGGCAAAATCGTACTCTCCATCCTCCATGGCCCGTTGATCTGGTCGCAAACGTGAGTCTGTAGGGGCAATCCACTGCCTTAGGTTGTCATCGATGTGGTTGAATGTAAGCACAAACGGAGTCAGGTTGAAAGGAATGCCCGTCGGTCGCTCATTGGCCTGCCAGATAAGGTAAGCCCGGCTTGGATCTGCGATGCTACCTCGGTGGACAATATCTCCATTCTTAGTTGAGGGCGCGTCAACAGCAGCCTCGTACCCTGGAGTCAATCGGGCATATAACCTGGAGTTCCAGCGACCGCCTAGGCTCATTCGCACCTGGCCTGAGGCATCCATGATCTTGCCCGCAATCCGGTATGCGCTTGAGGCAGTCCATCCCCTAGCCTTAAAGTCAACCTCAGCTACTTCTCCAGTCGTCCAGTTCTTGACTTCCATGAGGCCGTAGTTGTCTACCGTGGGATTTCCTGTGATAATGCCGATAACCGAGGATGTCACCTTTTTCCACGTGTAAAAATCTTCTTTTCCCCCAACGGTAGGTCGAAGCTTGAGGAACCATGTTCCAAGAGGGTTGATGTCGAACGATTTGCCGTAAAATTTGGACTTGACTCGCGATTCACCCCAGTACGTCCAGTTGGGTGCCTCTGCCCAGGCAGCGCCGATTGGCGGGTGGTGGCTGACCTGCTCGATGAAGAAGCGGTAGTTTTTGTCAGGGCGAACATATTCAAATGTTTCACCCAGCAGGGGATTGAAAGGTTTTGCAACTCGGCCAATGGTAGATGCGTACTCACTGGCAGCAAAAGCGGCCACGTACATGAGTCTTTCGATCGAGTCGGCGCGTTCGGATGCTAAGTCGAGGAGATCCGCGTACTCCATGTCTTCACCGCAGCGATACAGTAATGATGTCGGCTCGTTAAATGACACAGGCAGTGTCATCCTGGTCATATCCTTGCCAACCATTGACTTGAGGATACCCTATCCCTAGATGTTAGCTCATGTATCCCATGCAGATGACATGTCCAAACGTACCCAGAGAGAAATTTTGGGCCGATCATCACTCTCCATTTTGAGCCTGGATCGAATTCCATTCTCATATCCCTTGAAAGAGCTGCTAAGATCCAAGCCAGAAGTAGCAACTTCCTTCGTCTCCTGCTTTGCTTCAATGTGGGGAAGCTCCGTAACTTCGACGTCGCCAGCATCTACAGCATCAAAGAACTCGTCCTCTACTCCAGACTCACTGTCAGACATCTCCGCCAACTGCTCAAGAGCAGTCTGTTTTCGGGCCAGGTTTTTGCTCGATGCCTTGGCAATGGCAGCAGCCTCTTCAACCTCTTCCTGAACCTTTTCGATCGTTGGTGTCACGCTAGCAGAAGGCAGACCACTACCCTCCATCACCTCACGCAGCGCCTTCTTGGCCAGCTTACGCTTCATCTCCGATTCACCGACCCGGGCTTCGAGGATCTCCTGCTCGCGAGCTACCTGTGCCATGCTCTCCTCCCACATACGCCGCATATCAGACTCCCGATCAAGACGATATTGCCAGAATGCGTCACGGTCTTTTGAAATCCGGAGCAGGTCCCCGACCAGACCCGTCAAACTTCGGATAGCAGCATCGTATGTGGAGAGAGCCTGCGCGACTTGAACATCCGATATTGGCGTAGCAGGGCGGAGGGAAAGTTCACTCAAAAGGGCTGAGTGAACGCTTGCCATCGTCTCCAGCTGCAGTTTTGCTGACTGCGCAGTAATGTTGAGCGCATCCTTAGTTGCTTGGGGCTCTTCGCGACCGCTAGTGTCTTCTCCATAGTCGTCATCGTCATCTTGATCTCCGGGTGCCGTGCCAGGACCAGCTCCATGTCCATCCGCTTCTGTAAAGGTATCCACGAAATCTTCCTCTTCCACGCTCTCCGCTAAACTTGTCCCAGTCATGTCTGACTTTTTAACAGCCAAGATTGGGCGCGCTTGCGGCTGCGTGCTGACACGCCTCAAATCCGTCATGCTCGTGTTCTCGCTGTGAGAATCTTGGATAGAGAGCGAGCCGCTCTGGTCGGCCTTGGCCTGCCGAAGAAGCTCCGCGCTACGAGCTGCCTGGCGCTCCTCCTCTCTCGCCTGATCTTTGGTCCACTGGATTGAATTGTTGAGGGCCCAGAACCATCGTTTGGCTTCCACCTCATGATTCGCTTTGAGAGTGTACTTTACGGACGACTTTCCGATAATCTCGAACTTGGTCTTTTCATCTGGGCTCATGTGGAGTTTGGCAATTTTCATATTGATGGCGCCCCGGCATGCAGAACCAGCATCGTCTTGGTGCTTATAGTAGCTCAACACGCCATCCTCGAGCACAAACCATCTCAACTGGTAACCCTTGCGATAGTTGGTCCATTTCTTCAAGTATCCCTTCATCTCGCGAGCTTCACGTCCCGCCAAGGGATCGCTGGGTCCGCCAGCTGCGGCATTCTGGGAGGCAGCGTGTCCCAGGACAGCTTTCTCTTGGATTCCTCTCTGGGCCGCTACAGCAGCTGGCGACTTCTTTAGAATGGCCTTGACATTGTCGTCGCTGGTAATGGATTGAGGCAGCTTGCCTCTTCGATCACGACGAAAGGGGTCGGCGCCGTGAAGCAATAGGACCTGGATGAGCTGAGTGTTCTTCTTTCTGGCTGCTTCATGGAGTAATGTGCCTCCAGCCTGCACAACAGCTGGATCCAACACAAATTCAGTGCTATTGATGTCCAGCATAGTCTTTAATCGCGCCTCTTCCAGCACCTGGGCAAGAGTTTCGTAGTCGCCCTTGGCGATCAGGTCCTGTACCTGCTGCACCTTGGTGTCTGCGAAGAGGGATCGAGAGAGCTGAAGGAGCTGGAATATCTCGGGGTTTCGAGCTAGGTCGATGGGCAATTTGCCCTGAGAATTTGCAATCGCATCGTTGATCTCTTTTTGCTCCAAGAGAAGCTTAACTGCCTGAGTGCGGCTGTGCATGGCGGCAACATGCAGCGGAGTGTTGCCATCTTTATCCCGAGCATTCACGTCCAAGCTGCCGAGGCCATCGGACAGAACGTATTCGATAACGGGGAACTCGGCGCATTGCATAGCCAAATGAAGTATCGTCGTATCTTCCAATGCCCCAGCAGCACTAGCCCCACTATGCGACGATGTGCTTGCACGTGGGAGCCCGTCCGCCGTCTCCCGAATGACCTTGGATATGGATGCGGTATCTCCGCTCCTCAGGGCCTCAACAACCCTAAATTTGCGTATAGATTGTTCCAGGCTACCGGTTTTGGTCTCTTGAGTTGGAGAAGCTTTTGCGTTTGCAGCAGCCTGGTTGTTAGAAGGTGTTCTGCTCAGAACAGCCGATGGTGTTGAGAGTCGAGACACATGGCTTCGGGGCGCGCTGGATTTCGGAGGGGAAGCATGGCTGCCCGTGGTCGATAATCGACCGTCTTCAGATCCGGATTCATCGTCTCGAGTGTCCTTGCGGCGCAATAGCGACAGCGCCGCGGCGGACTTGGACCGCTTGTGGTTGTTGCTGTAGCCACATCATCCAGATCAGCCAGCTGAAAGACAGGAAGCTCTCAAAACAAAGAGGGACAAATATAGAGTGGGGTTGTGATGCAAAGAGAGAGAAAAAGCAGCTCCGGGATGCGATACAGCAAATGAACAGACAAGATGGTTCTCGGAAAGCAAACCTACCTGTCGCCCACGTCCGACATGCTAGGCTACAAGCAATTATCTCTGTCGAGTTTCGGGGGGTTTCGTTTGTTCAGTTGCAAGCTGAGGCAGCCCCCAGCCGCCAACACAGAGGCTATGTCGAGCCGCTCAAAGCGCGTAGCGAGGATGCGATCTTGGATTATCGTACAAGAATGGGGAAATAGGGATGATCCAGCGAGAGCTGCATGTGAATTGAAGGAGAAGAGAAACCAGAGCAGCCGGCGTGGAGATTGGTGGTGGAGAAGTGGCATGTATAGACCAGGGACTTGGCCTGAAAGAAGAACAAACGAGGATGGCGGGATGATGATACACAGGGCAACTCAGCCACCACGTACAGGCGTCTTCAGGCGCTCAAGACACTGTAACCAGCAATGAGCGCGCTGTACGACACAGTGTCTAGGGCGTTGCGCAAGCACTCTAGCACAAAAGCGGCCAAGGCAGCTTCGTGGCCAGCGCTGGAAGCCGGCATGACGTTTTTTGTCCAACGGAGCTAGCGACAGCGTGGCCAATGCTTGTTTTGGCAGTGGGGAGCCTGCTTAGTCATGAGACACGTCTTTGGCCAACCACTTCCTTTCGCGGTCTGGCTTGACGCTTCATGCAGCCTCTCAGGACTTTAATCTATTAATACCGAGTGGCCCGGGAGAGGGCATGAACTGCCAAGGCCAATCATGGCAACACTGGTTTGACCAGAAGAATGCGGGTGAGGCGGGAGAAGCTTCGCATGTCCATAGTCTGCCCTACGAGGAAGCCAATAGCGACGCAGCGAGTCATGGCTTCAATGCCTGGATCAGGATGCGATACAAGTATGGCAATTGTCTCTATTCTCCATTTGCGGAATCGGGTATCTGTCGAGGCAAAAAGACGAACGGAGTTGCCATGGAGCGTGCGTGTACGTGTATTTGCTTGCGAACTCGCCACCGAAGTCCATGTCCATCTGATCTTCTTGACCACAAGTACTCGAACCACGCAGTTTACAGAGAGCTTAGCTGTCTCTGTAGCGGCAAAACTGAGGAAACATACTGCGCGGTCCAACTCCAGATGTCCGGAAGAATCTTGACGTCATACGTCGCAAACACTTAGTCTCTTATCTTTCCCCTTCGTCACCGATGCTACCCTAGGACTAGCACGGCGCTGGCTGCATCTCTCAAAAGCCAAGGTAGTGTCTTTTACGAAGACTACACGTAGATAGATCCCGAAGATTCTACGGAGTATTTTGCCTTTTTAGATGTACAGCGACGGTCTGAGAGTAGTCAGGAATCGGCCTACCACCCACGGCTTTCTGCGTCAATAACAGTCCGGAAGACAATAGCAGATATATGTGTTGTTTTGCTCCATTTCTTGCGGCCACCACTGATATGATTTCATTTGTCAATGAAGCTCAATTTACGTATAAGTCACGGCTTTATACTTCCGATAAAAAAATTGCTACATCGGATTTGCTTTCGGGTAGAAAGCCAAGCCTCGCAGACTCAAATGATTTAGTAAAACGATACCTTTTCAGATGAGTTTGCCACATTCGTCCTTAGCCGTACGGACTGCTTATATGAGATTTCTCATCTCTAACCTTTCGGGACCTTGTGAGACCGCGACACCTAGCGGCGGCTTCTATCCAGGCTGCGAAAGCCGTCGCATATCCGGAGATAATCAAAATGAGGGATGTTGCAATGTCACAGCGTCGAGTTGCACTGTTTCGCCTCATCCCCCTTATGTAAGTTCATATTGGGATTGTTCGATCGCTGCACGGGAAGAAACTCTGTCGGTTGGTATGACCTCGTGTGTTGCTCGATCTGCAAATGGTTTAGTCAATGCAAGCGGCGCTGAAACAGCTATTCACAACGGCGCAAACTGAAATCTCCAATGCTGAAGCCAGAGGCCATGCCGCGCTCTATATGTTCATCATTAGCAGGGTGGAAGAAAAGATATTAACCCATATACTGGGAGTGTTTCCAGTTTGGACACCGGGAAACCATAGATAGATGTCAGACAAATTATTACAAACTGTAGGTTCTGCAGGCTTCAATTTAAAGGTTTTAGAATGCTAGCCCCTTGGCTCTTCAGAATACTAATCGTATCCCGAGCTCGGCAATGTACTTCCTCTTACAGACACATAGCGACCCAATGAAATGCCCGATTCGCCAGTCTATATCAAGGCCTTGATTAATTTGTCTAAATATAGCCAGAATCTGCAATTCAGTTCCCTGAAAGAGGAACATCCATTGTAAAATCCCCAGTCTGCTGGAGATATTCAAGACTCGAGATCCAGAAAGTCTTCAATCTAGTCCCAACAAGGGATGGTCCTGTCATCAGACTGCATTAGCGCCAGCTCTCTGAAACTCCACCAGTCTTCCTATTCAAGTCAAACATAGTCAGCAGGAGACATTCAAAGGAACGATTGATGACCCTTCAACTCCAAATTCATCTTCCTATCTATTAAAAAAATTGCGTTTCCGCCTTGTGGATAGGATCATTGTTCGACTATAGGCTATTCAATGGCTACCTTTATGAAGTTTCGTCTAGTCCCGGCGCGGGAAGAGGTGAGTTTGTTCCGTCAATCATGTCGAAGCTATCCAAGAGCTAATCAGGGGACCTTGCAGAAAGTTGACGAGAATGACGACTGGTACGGGCTGAGGGATGCCAAGGAGAGGAGGAAAAGACAAAATAGGATCAATCAAAGAGCAGCTCGTAGGGATACCTTATCAGCCATTCCTCTCATCTAATTGCACCCGGAAGACTAACGGAGCATCCGCATCAGGCCGGCGGCAACGAGAGAATCTCGCCCGGGAGCTCGAGTCATCGGCTTCTACGGCAGTATCATCACCTCCAAATGCAGCTTGCCGGTCCCGAGGACCCAATGTTTGTTCTACACAGGTTCATTTCCCGTTGTCCCCGGACCACAAACTTCTATACGTCATTTGTCTCAACGTCTCGCGGGCAATCATCACCAACTACTTCATAATGTCCACAATTGCGCCAAAAACCGCATCCCTTTGCATCAGTCGCCGTACTTTCGCGATTGAAGACTTTTCAGAAGCTCCTCGAAATCTCGATGGTACTCGTTCACTTCCACCAGCGTTTATGCCGACGAAAATGCAGCAGGAGGTCCCCCACCCCGGCTGGATAGATCTTCTTCCATCCCCTCAGCTGCGGGACAACCTCATTCTTGCAGTCATAGAGTTCAACGTTGACGAAGACGAAATTCTCGAAGATTTGATTGGAGATATATTTGAAGCTATGGGCTGTGGACTAGAAGAAGATTCAAACGACGGTGCACCGAACGATGCGAAAGCTCCTGCAAGACCACACGTAGTAACTCCAGAAAAAAAAGAGGCGTTGAAAACCTACACTCCTACAAGCACCCCCGAAGTTGGTATTCTCTCATGGTCTGATCCGTGGGAGATATCGGGTTGGGAAGTTACAGAAAAGTTTGTGACTAGATGGGCTTTCTTGCTTCAAGGATGCCCAGATGTGGTCGAGTCTGCAAACAAATGGAGAGCTCTACGAGGAGAAGACCCTCTCGTCGTGGAAATATGAATGCCTGCTGAAGCTGATTATGAAAGTAGAATAGGCCCTGGCGAGGAAGGATAGACCGGACACTTTTTGTTTCTTTTCTTTTCTGGCATATGGTGTTGAGCGGTATGGGACAGCTAGTCGAGTTTACTGACACAATAGATATTTATTCTCTCTTCTCTACTTCTCACTTCCTGTGTAAGGTGATTGGCGACCAACATGCTAAGTGGTGAACGATTGAAACATGACGAATGCAATCAATTGATCCAAAGTTCTGGCCTTCATATCAACTCTTCACTTTTTAGACAGCGAAAAAGAAAAGACATGTATTCCGTCACTGAACAGAGTCAAGTCTGCAAAATTGAAGATGGCAAAAAGCAAAAAAGAAATGCCCACTATTAGAGTCGAACTATCCACCTTGTTCATATCACAGAAATCTAGTGACACATTAATACTTAATTAAAAAAGCAAAAAGAGATGCCCACTATCAGAGTCGAACTGATCACCTTGTCATATCACAGAAGTACTAGTGACACGCTATACCGCTTAGCCAAGCGGGCAGGTACGGTTGTTGGAAGGTCCTTCCATTTGTACATTTATAAAGGAAGCGCATAACCGGATCCTCGAGCCTCGGTATCCCTTAGCCAAGCGAGTAAGTAGCTGTTGGAAACTCCTTCCATTTTAAGATTTATAAACAGATTGCATAATCGGATCCTCTGCGAGCCTAGCCCAGCGGGCAAGACAAGAGCTATTGTTGCAAATTGACAAGCCATTGCGGTATATACACAGATTGCAATTGCGGGACTGAAAGATTGCGGGGGTCATAGACTCAACGATCAATTGACAAGTCACCTACATTAGAGTTCTTGTTGATCTACTGCCTCTTTGGCGCGAATCACATTATGCAGTCGACATCCAACGACCGTTATGCTCGTATAGCTTGTTAGTGGTAGTATGAAGTGTTGGTACAACCAGGATGGCACAAGTACCGATACAACAGTAGAGCGGCGTATCAATTGCTCTTTGCTTTGTCTAGGGAGTCGGAAATACCCATCGAGTTGCCCGGCTGCATACGCCCGCAGCAGCACCATTGATCCCAGAAGAAGTTTCTGACTCGTGTGTTTCATATTTACCAAGCTTTGGTAAGTGTGGGAATCCACTTCTATGAAAGGGCAAAGCTGTAGGAGCTATATAACTTCTCACATGTCGGCAGTTGTTTTGCGCTAATCGTAGACAACAACAACCCCGCAAGAAGGAACAACGCTGTTGAACTAAAATTGCAAAAGAGCCGATTAATTGGCCACGCTCGCAAGATATTGCTCGATTGCTCTAGCGGGGATGGGCTAATCCAGCAGCCATGACCGTAGTTCCGGAGGATCAGACACATTGAGATGGCCTGATGTTTGCAGCTTTTGTATCAGTGACTTTGGGTACAAAGCAACTACAGCGGAGAAGCAGCGAATATGAATACATCACTAGTAGTCCTACCTCCGGGAGCCTGATACTTGAATTAATCATCCGATTTCGCGTAGAGATTCATCTGTGCGGGTGCCTGGTAGATACGATAAGCGAGTGATTAACCAAGATGCTGCTGACCTTGTGTGATGCACTTGGAAGTAATTAAATTATATTAAAACTGTAACTGGTGAGAGCTTGCAACTTGCTACTCAACTGTCGTCGCTGAATGCAGTAGCAGATCATCACTGCCATAAGGTACCCCAGGTCGAGAGTGGACACTCGGAACTGCCCGCACTGGACCGGCGCTCTCTGTCCGTTTCGAAGCGGCCGTTTCTCAGAGTTATTAACGGTACAAAGTACAAGCTGCTCGCATCTCGCATCTCGCATCTCGCATCTCGCTGCCGTCTGCAGTTTCCTTGCACTTTCCTCATCTGTTTTCCTGCTTCTTTCCCCGCCCAGAAATACACGTATATAACACTGATGCGCGCTGCAAGCTGCATACTGCACAGGTGCTGCATACGCCTTACAAATTGGCGGTTCAGGGCACGCACGCCGCTGTCGGTTCAAGATGCGCACGCCTAAAGCCAATAGGTATCCAGAAATTTTTAGCGCATGCACGGCTGAGCTCGGAATTTTCTGTAGCGCCGACGCAGGGTCCAACAGCCCGAGATCCAAGCCCTTTAGCGGGCCAAATAGCACATGGCAGTGGCAATTGACAGCCGCCGTCCCGTAAATCTCTGGCAGGTTACAAAGCCCAGGGTTCAATTTTTTCCTCTTCGGGCTTTGGAAAGCGCCAAGCTGTAAAATCGAGGCATCATGGCCCTCACGTCTGCGCAATGGCGCCTGCCCTCGCTTAACTCGCGTTGTATTTGAATCACCATGGCGCTTCCGCATTCGTATGACCACAAACATTGAACTCTCCCGCAGCATCTTCCTCTATCGCCTCTGACCTGAGCATTCGGGCCGCAGTGATTGCAGTACTTTTGCGCATGTACATTTAATTTCAGCTCGTGAAGGATTTTCCATAGAGGCGGCTATATGGCGTGATCGCCCTATCAAGCTACTGGCCTATCTATCTATCTGTCTTGGGAATTTTCTCAAAATCAACGTCTATCAGAAACACCGCGCCTCACGCTGCCATTACCAGCATCAGGGATCAAACAAGGCAGGCTAAAAAAGGAAGAAGAAGATACGGAATCAAAAGTTGTTGCGGCATTCCGCGATACCGGCGCAGGCATGGAGCCGTTTCCGAAGCTGCCAGATGGCATCTCCATCTCCGACAGTGGCCAGATGGTGCCCTTCCGCTCAGTGTACAAGCATAAGCACCACACATGGGCGCGCACATTCTCGTGCGTGGCCGCCGTCTACGTTCAGCCTGAATCGCTGGCCGAGATCGAAAAGATCGCTCTGCTCGCGCACAAACTTCGCAAGCGCGTGGTGACGGTTGGATGCGGGCACTCGCCCTCCAACATCACCTGCACCTCCAACTGGCTGGTCAACCTGGACAAGTACAACAGAATCCTCTCCGTGGATGACAAAAGCGGCGTCGTGGTCATGCAGAGCGGCATCCGCTTATACACCCTGTGCGAGGAGCTCGAGCGGCGTGGCCTGGCTATGCCAAACCTGGGCAGCATCAACCAGCAGTCAATTGCCGGCGCCATCTCGACGGGGACGCACGGCAGCAGCGTTCGCCACGGCCTCATGTCCGAAGACGTCCTCGCTCTCAAAATCACGCTTGCCAGCGGAACTACTGAGCACTGCTCGCGGGACGAGAACCCTGATCTGTTTCGAGCTGCACTGCTGTCTCTCGGCTCCCTTGGCATCATCTCGGAAGTCACTTTTCGTGCCGTCCCAGCCTTTACCCTCCGGTGGAAGCAGACCATTGATGCAGATGTAAAAATGTTCAACTCGTGGCCAAACGAATTGTGGACTCAGAGCGAGTTTGTCCGAGTCTGGTGGTTTCCCTACACTCGCCGGGCGGTTGTCTGGCAAGCCGAGAAGACCGACGAGGATCTCTTCGACCCTCCGGTAAGCTATTATGATGGGTCCCTGGGCTACTACATCTATCACAATCTGCTTTACGTCGCCCAGCTTGTGCCTCGCATTTTGCCCTGGGTTGAATGGTTCGTATTTGGCATGCAATACGGTTTTGCAAACGGATCCACAACGTCAGCCATCCAACCAAGCCGCAAGGCCTTGTTAATGAACTGTTTATACTCTCAGTTTGTTAACGAGTGGGCTATTCCTCTCCACAAGGGCCCGGAAGCACTCCGAAGGCTTAGCTCATGGCTCAATCAACTCACTCCCAGCGACCCAGACTATGTGCCGCATAACATCCCCTTCTCAGCCAAGGGCCTCTATGTTCATGCGCCGGTGGAGGTTCGGGTCAGCGACACGACGCTCACTACAAACTCTCGGCCTTTCCTTGACCCAACTGTCAAGGATGGACCAACGTTGTATCTCAACGCCACTCTATACCGTCCTTACTTGCATGACCCCCCTTGCCGAGAACGTTACTACCAAGCCTTTGAATGGCTAATGAAGGACATGGGCGGCAAGCCGCACTGGGCCAAAAACTTTGAAACCTATCGCCCCGAAATCGAACTCATGTATGGCGAAGACCTGGACAAGTTTAGGAAAATCCGAGATGCCGTCGACCCTCGAGGAATGTTTCTTGGGCCCTGGCATCGAGACCGCATCCTTGCAGAGAATGCTCGATATGAGCTCGAGGAAGTTGAAGTCCGGAGGACAAAATCCGTTAAGAGCGGAATTACAGTCGTGGGCCAGATTTAGGAGAATTATGGTTCTTTACAATGAGTTGTTTCAAAATACAGCGGAGACGCTCAGTAAAAGTGTTTATCAGGTACATCCTTATTAGATAGGTAGAAAGCAAGTTTTCATTAGGCCTTTATGTACATATGATTGCTAGGCCAAACCGGCATCTCTTAGAATTTGACAGTGTAGGCCTATAACGAAAAAGTATTTAAACTACATACCTACACGAAGTGTTATTCGAGATGACCTAGCCATCATATTACTATTATCCAGAACTGTTATGATACAGGCCGAGGTTCAGCAAGGCACTCCAAAGAACTCAGGCACTTTAGAAACAACCATGCCACGTTACATTCAGCAAATCTTAGGTGTATGGCGAACTCACCAATCTTGTTACTTCGTTTAAAACGCTCGTCAAAGACATTCGAGAAAAGGAGGAGGTGATCCCAAAGAGAAAGGAGGGGGTCTCGATATGCTACGAGAAAAACAAATGAAGAGTTTTAATCCTAGCGCTGATCAGGATCAGCGCCCTCTCACGCAATCTCAAGGGCTATTCGGCTTCGGCTGCCATTCCGCTCTATGCGTTACTTCCTAGCAAATGAGCGTCAACTGGAACATGCTTACCACCGTACCAGGAACGAAGCAAGGGTGCAGCACTACCTTTTGCTCTTCTTGGCAAAAAGGGTCCTGGAGCTACATACAATAATAGCAGCAGGGCCGCAGATTGCTGCCCTTGGCGTATAGTGCTTAAATTATAATATCTCACTCGCCTTCGTATATCTGAAGCCAAT